CAGGGACCAGGGAGATACAAGGTACCAAGTGGGTTGTTGCAGTCAGGGGTTATGAGGAGAACAATTGGAATCAGGACATAGAATTTATATTATTTATGATGGTCACCCAAAGTTAACATAAGAAAGTGCAGGAAATCTATCCACCACACTAAAGACACAGAATATTCAGCCACGGGCCTGGATCCTGCTGCAATGCCGCATGTGAGTCCAGATGAAAACCTAGAGCCCATGACAGTGCCTCCCACGAGTCCAAATGGAGGTCTAGAGCCCATGACAAGGACTCACACCAGTCTGTTTTACGGATCCCTGCTGGGAAGGCCCTAGGGTCAAAGGTGGAAGCTAGAAAGTCTATGCCAGCAGGGTGATGGAGCTGTGTTGGTAGGTTGAGAGTTCTACACTGGAGCCGAGAAGTCACGCTAAAACTAAGGACCAGGGCTGTCCTGAAAAGCACCACAGCAATCCTCAGTGACATGGAGGTCCCAAGCTCCTCCGACAATAAGAACAGTAGAGAGTGCACACCAGAAAGCCAGCATGACAAGCTTCTCCTGGAGATTAAACAGCACGCATCTTCCCCTCCGGAACCAAGAAACGATACTCGATGTAAGGACCAGAGCTCCCCCAAAGTGAACCACAGCCACTCTCACCAACCATGTCCCAAGGTCCTCTGATGACAGTGGTTGAACTCACACTGGGGAAGCCAATCATGACGAGCTCCTCCAGGAGAACCAACAGCTCAAGACAGCAGCACTTAATTTAATAGTTTAAATCCAGAGACTACAGTAAAAGGTATTTGAAAGAGGATTCTTTTAAGGTTTTTTCCCCTCCTGATAGCTGCAAGTTCAAGGCCATTCTAGGCTACCAAGTGAATTTGAGGCTAGCTTGGGCTACAAAGTGAGTTCACACTCATCCTGAACTACATAGTGTAACACTGTGTCAAAAAGACAAAAACAAAACAAAATGCTTCTCCACTCCTAGTATCAGTTAGAATAACTGATAATATTTATTTCTTATTTTGATGCCGGACATGGTGGTACACTCCACCCCTCAGGAGGCTGAGGCAGGAGAATCACTGTGAGTGCGAGGCCAGGTTAGGTTACATAGTGAGTTGAAGACCAACCTGGACTGCCTAGCAAAAACCTGTCTCAAAAAACAAAAACTCCAAAAACCTATATGTATTTTTTTAAAAAAACTAATAAACTATATTTTAAAAGCTATATAGTTTACTTAGAAATAGTGCCTCTAAATTACACCAGTTGTATTTTGGGTCAACCTATAGGAGGTATTTGAAGCATACCTTTTGGTATCTCTCATATTAGACTTACCATTCACCTGAAACTTAAACCCCTTAGAGCCCTTGTAGGTGCTGGTGTCAAAGACTCAGTTCAGTAGGTATTCATTAAAGGAACTAAGGAAAGCGAAGCAACTGAACTGAAGGCAGTGGCAGCTGGAACTTCAGAAGAAAGTAGAACCAAAAGTTAATGATGTCGGCTACATTCATCTTGGCAGACTGGTGTCCATGGTGGCAGGAAGTAGAGCTGCCCGCGCCCCCGGCCTTGGGTTCGCCCCAGTGGCAACAGGTGAACCCCAGGTGCAGTACAGACTGCTGTGATTGGGGTAGTATTGTTAGCGACTTTACTGAGGAACTCTCAGCAGGGAACATTACTAATGGCTGGGTCATCCAGAGGTGATCAGACCGAGACACAGGAAATAGAAACCTAATGAACTGAAGTCATGAAGCTTGGAAGTGTCTGGTGCCCACCAGAGTTCACTGTCAGCCACTTGCCCATATGGAGCAGTCTCCCTGAGAGGGTAGGAAGCTTTAGTTTTGTTATTAGTCCTATGAAAATGTTTCCAAGCAGAGGTATGACTTTAAGTTTTTGTCTTTATAAAAGATAGAATTGAGCGTGTTCTGGTACATGGAAGTGTTTTTCAGGTCTTAGAAAAGTTGTGTGAGTTTATTCAAAGAGCTCAGTGGTATGGGTTTTGCACAGCATCTCTTCTGTGTGCTCTGTGGTAGAGGGAATTTCTGTGTTGGCTAGCAGTTAGGCTCGATCCATGGTCCTCAGCTAGTGGTGATTTGCCCCCAAGAGATGCTTGGCAAAGACATTTTCGGTTGTCCTAACTCATGTGGGAGGGTTTCTACAGGTAGCTAATGAGTCGAGGCGCAGGATTCTGCTGAATATCATACAGTGTTGAGAGAGGCTCCCATAACAAAAGAGTTTTCCAGCCCCAAATGTTAACACTGCCAAAGATGAGAAACAGTGTGCTGAATAAATGGACTCATTTTCAAAAGTGTTTGTATGTGGATGAAATGATAAGAAACTGTAAATCGAGAACTTTGGAGAACAAGTAGGTCAGGACCATCATGTTACAGTAGTGGGGATGTAGGACCACATTAGGTGGGGCGCCTGGAAAGGAGAACCGACGGGTGCAAGGAGTTTTCACAAGCCGGTGTGGGAAAATGGCTAAATGGGATCTGGCCAGTTCCAGCCTTTTTCCTGAGGATGGATTATGTGCACACACGTAAAAAGGTACAGAAACCTCATCTGTACCTTTTCCCTCCTTCTGACCCTTTAAAGGGGCTTCTGCTTAGAGGAGTGGGTTCAGGATAGCATTTCAGTAGTACCCTCAACACAGATGGGCAACTGGTGGGGCTAGTTGGGGTTCTGATTCAGAACATTGAAACTCACTGGTAGATTGAAGACTTTTTTTGTGTTTTAAAGGATAGAGCTATTTTTAAAAGAAATTTTTTATTTTAAAGACAATAAAACAATAAAGCAAATCAGAAGCCGGGTGTGATAGCACATACCTGTAATCCTAGCACTCGAGAGGCTGAGGCAGGAGGATCATTGCAAGTTTGAGACCAACCTGGGCTATAAAGAGAGCTCAAGGCCAGCTTGACTGCATAGTGAGACCCTGTCTCAAAAAACAAAACAAAACAAAAAAAAAACATTAAAGCAAATCAGAACAGAACAATGCAAGTGATACAGGACAACAGGACATCAACAATAGCTACCATAATGTGTCTCATTTTCTTCAAAATAACTGCCATAGCATCACACACACAAAAAATCAAAACAGAGCAAAGCCAATTACGAAAGAATGAAAGCATTACTGGACTTCAAAACAAGAGCTATTATTTTTAAAGGGTAATTTTATGATTGTTTTTTGTTACAAAAAGTGTCATTTAATGTTTTCTGTGTATCAGACCTTGCAGAGTCAGTGCCTAATCTTACTGAACTCTTGTAATTAGCCTCTAAGATCAATATCATGGTTACCTTGGTTGCATCAATCAAGAGATGACTCCCAGGGAAGGAAGTTAACAGTACCCTTAAGAGTCAAAGGGCCACTGAGTTAGGCTTGAAATTCTGATTTGGTACTGCAGATTAAACTTTCAACATGAAGTGACAGATGGCCTTTTTTTCTTTTAAAAACAGATTGTAGTGTGTGTGTGTGTTGAGAGAGAGAGAGAGAGAGAGAGAGAGAGAGAGAGAGATTTTTTTGTCCGCAGAGGCCAGTTTGCTACCATTAGGTAATTTTTGTGTATCTGGTCTCAGTTCTTGGTGATGTGAGAATATATATGTTTGGAAACATATTCCTTGTATATATGAAGGAAAGCTTTTGAAAATTAATGCTATGAAGTATTCTATTTCTGAATAATTCTTTCAAAAATCTAATGAATAAATCTAGTAAACAATTTGAGATAAGTCAGATGTGATAATTTAGGGAAAATACTAATCTTTTCCTTGCAAGAGAAAAGCTCAGCATTAAACTTTTATACTCAATAAAATATTAGAATACTTTCCTCAGCTCATCCACTAAATTATCTCCATTAACCCACTTATGCAAAGTATTGTACAAAATCAGAATATGAAAATGCTGTAAGATAGATATTGTTTACACAGAGGACCAATCAGTATTTACCATACTTGTGAATAAATTAGATTCCTTTAGCAGTTTATGAGAAATAGGTGTGCCATCCATCTGACTTCAGTCTCTAAACAAGTACTTGTCTTGTATGTATCTTGAAAACTGGCAGGAGCTCAGGCCATTTTTGGGACCAGGTGAGGGGAGGAGTGGATAGAGCTGTTAGCTCCTTTCAGGCTTCTTGTAGTGGAGGTGAATGACGTGGCGTCTTCTCCTTAATAATGTTACTGCTCTGATTTCCTGCCATATTCCCACATGCCAGCAGCTCAGTCTTTGGAGAAAAGTATTGTGGCTGGAGCAGGAGCGTCCCATTTGTTACTCCAGCTCCCAGGTTTGAACCTGGTTTCCTAAGTTCCTGGGACACCACCTCCTGTCACTGAGTTAGGGCAGAGTTTTGGCAAGATCTATGCTGATGCCTTGTTTTTACCTTTTTCCCTTCTGTTTAATTTCCTTGTGTACTTATTTAAGGCACATGTCATACATACTATGTGTAGCTGTATATAGTTGATAATCAAAGGATTAAATAATAAAAGTTTGACTAAATGGAAAATTAAGAAATATTGGGGTTTGTATGGTAATTTTTAAAATGAATCATTGATGAATAAATTTTTGTAGTCTATGGTTAAATGTGGTTTGAATACTATCTTCTTTGTATTCCCAGTAGGATTTGATTCAACAAGAAGTCAGATATCCCTGTAAATTTAAAAATAAAGGTTTCTATATTTGATTAACTGAAAAATCTAGTTCTGGTGTTAATTTTAAATGATGAGGGTATGTACTTTAAAGATTTTAAGGAACAACATTAACATAGATATTACTCAGATGTGAATAGTGCATATTATATGTAAAAATATATTTTTTCCATCTTGTTTTATGTAATTTTTTTGACATGGAAAAGAGGGACAGGAGCTATAAATCCAGCCAGATGTGCTTTTGTTGTTCCACGTTTTAGTGCCAGAAGCATATAAACCTGCACCTGTTGGTAATTCTGAGCAAGCCAGCCTTTGCCAAATCCCAGGCCTCTGCATAAAATTTTTACTGGAACTAAATGATGTTGCCATTTTTATTTTTAGGTTTGCTGGCATGGGTAATCTCATTAAGGTGCTAACCAGGGACATAGACCACAATGCAGCACATTTTTTCTTGGACTTTGAAAGTAAGTCTCTTTAGTCCTTCACAGCTGGTGTTATAGTGGTAAAGGTGAAAGATTAATTATATTCACACCACGGTGAAGGCCAGCCAGAGTAATTGTTGATTAAACTTGGGAATCAAATAAAAGTTGCATGATTTTTTTCTTAATTGTAGGCAAACATCACCATCATATGTATAATTCTTTTTTTTTTTTCATTTGCTAAAATCATGTTGAGTCTGTAGCCAGTGCTGTCCTTTCATTAGTCCATGAAGCCAGTATTAGCCTTACGATGAATGTTCTAGTAGTGTGCTTTAGTGACTATGCCAAGGAGTCTGCTTGCTTATAATCCTGTAATAATTAAAAACAAACAAACATCAAACAGAAACCCAAGAATCGTGCTGCATGTCTGAAACCAGTGCTTTAAATAACCTTCATAAATTGCTGATGATCCAAATTTGGTTAAAGATACATATCTGTTTAATTACATACAGGAAGTTTTATATTCTGATATTTTAAAATGAGATGCAAAGGTGAGCTTTGGCCTGACCTCTTTTAGTATTTGGCTTTGAAAAATGTTTCGGTGCTATACTAACAATCAAATGTGAATAATTCTTGATGAGAAATTTCTTTTTCAGAATACTAGCACTATTGGAATACTTAAAGAATTTTTCATTATAAGGCCGTTAATGAAACTTGTCTTGGGAGAATTTTGAGAAGAATTAGAGCAACAGTTGTGCCATTGTATAAAGGAAAAACCACATTTCACCTCTAGGTCCTACATATCAACACCTTGAGGACCCGGTTTGCAGTCTGCCAGAGCACAGTCTGGGTAACCCGAAGGATGAATTCATGGCCTAATGAACCTTTCCCCTGTTACTTTTTTTTTTTTTTTTTTTAAATAAATTTCAGATGTTCTTTTTTATAAAGGGATATTTTCTCTTTTCTCATTCTTGTCTTGACAGGTACCTTAACATGGGGAATCTTCTTAAAGTTTTGACATGCACAGACCTTGAGCAGGGGCCAAATTTTTTCCTTGATTTTGAAAGTGAGAAGATGATTTTATACCTATTTCTCTTTGCCTGCAGTAGACTGCGTCTGTCTTGCACTAAATGAATGTTTTCACTTCGCCATCTTTTTAACTGCTTTGCATGACTGAGCTATGAATTGTTTGAGTGAAATTTCTGGTGCCTTCTAGAACTGGAAGTCATAATGCATAGATTAAATTATGGTAATAAGATGTCTTTATTTGAATTTTTACGAGATTTTAGATCTCTTAATTGGAGATTAGGATATAATTTGGTAATCTAACGAAAACATTTTAACTTTGGAAAGGAAAATACTACTTTAAGATTTATTAAAAAGTATTTGGGGGAAAATTGTATGGTAGTTGAGAACAAATGATTATGTTCCAATTACTCTATATACATATACAAGTACTTTAAACACAAATCTGTTCGTGAAGGCCATTCAGAGCTCAGTAATTTGGGCATAATATTAAAAGGTAAGTGTGAACCTAAATTATTTAGTCTTTGCAGATAATTTAAAAGTTAAAGTTGACTTTATGCATTTATTTCAGGAATTCATTTTTTCTAACTCTTTTCTAAAAAGAAAAATAATAGGTTCACAGACCTTTGAGTAATTTGCCTTCTGTTTGTTTCATGTTGCATGACCTATAGTAATATGGTCTGAGAGTGGCAGGTAAGTGTCATTGGCCTCGATGCATGCTGCAGCGCGCTTGCTTTTTTGGCTGTGTGTATCGCTTTAGCTTGTCTGGTTGTCAAACTGAAAGATGATACAAAATTGGTGTTTTAGTGTGGATGTTGCTATTTTAACTGGTAATTGGAAAATTGTTAGGAAAGGGTGAAGAGATAGCTTTTAGGATTTTAATCATTATTCTCTTTTACATTTTTACCTGAGATTACACCATTTGGAGATTTTTTAAATATGTAAAATTTAAGACTTCTCTGATTTTTAATATTTCTTCTTCAAAACAGAACACATTAATTTATGTGCCCTATCTCCTTTTTATAGACTACTTCGTGGTCTGATACTTCTCTGTGTCCCTGTAGATGATCTGGTACAGTTAGAGTGTTGTGTGCAGGCTAGTAAAGAGTAGTAGCATCATTATCAGGACCATATTAAACTGTTGGATTGGGAGGGGTGGATGGTATTAAATAAATACTAGTTTTCTTGACCCTTCTCAACAATTTCACAGTGCTGTTTTTAAGTGCATGTTTAGCATGAATTTTAATCAGCTTGGGGATGTTGAGCAGATTGCTGACTTGAAGATTCTTCTTTCAGATGAGGCAACTTACCTTAAAAGCTGTATTTTAGTTTATTTGCATCTGTTTCAAACTTGGTCTTGTATATTTTTCTTCTCTGCTGTTTCTTTTTTCTTCTTCATCCCAAATTTCTTCTATTTGCAGAATCTTGGCTCTGATACAGTCAAGATCTTGTTCAAGACTTGACACTTGATCTTTTTATAAACCTAGCATTAAGTTGTGATCAGCTGGAAAGCATGGATTCCAAATGTAGTGTTTGAAAGGTTATTTGGTCCTGGCTTTCCAGGCTTTTGGATTTGGATTGTTGTGTTTAAAATTTAACTTAGTGGCAGGAGGAGATTAAAACTACTGACAAGACTAATAACATTGTCTAACTACATACACGATGTCAATATCTTAAAGGCAGATACAAATTATTTTGTTATTGATTCTCTTTTTTGAGATGGGGCTCACTACATAATTCAGGCTGGCCTTGAACTCACTATGTAGCCTAGGCTGGCTTTGAACTCACAACAGTCCTCCTGCCTCAGCCTCCCAGGTGCTGGGATTGCAGGCATGCCCACCATGCCTGTCCATTGTTTTTTTTTTGAGACAGGATTTTGCTGTGTAGTTCATACTGGCCTTTAACTTAACTATTTAGCCCCGGCTGTCCTCAAACTTACAGAGAGCCCCCTGCCTCAGCCTGCTGAGTGCTGGGTTTACAGATGTGTGTTACCAAGCCTGGCATAAATCTTAAAATGACCTTTTGTCTCTATGAGCCATTACAGAACTTTTGGTTTGACCCTCTAGTATACTGTAAATGAAATTTAGTGAAGATGTATTGTATAACAGACCAGAGCTTTCTCATTGTTACTACTGCTTTAGGTTTTTCGATGTTTTCTTTTCTTTCTAACATTGGTGTTTTCTTAATTTCTCCCCTTACCCATTTGCATATTTTGCTTCTTTTTGGAAATACGCATTTGTGAAACCTTACCTTATTGTTAGGTTGCCGTAAAGATCTTGGCCCATCAGATAGTCTTCTCTTAAACTGTTTTCTGCCAGACTCAAAACTGCCAGAACACTTGATTTGCCAGTCTCTGATTATTATCTAGAATAAAGCTAAATTCTACTTATTCAATGTAGTGTTTAATACGTCATTGCTTATTTCTAGATTCAAAGCAATGTGCATGTCACCAGAATTTAGTTATAACCATTATTGTAATTTGTTAAATCTGACCCAGAATGCCTTCATGATTGGGCAATATGGAAATAATTCTACGCAGATACACCTGGGTTTTTGCATCAGGTTGCTTTCAAATTCAGTATTCTGATGCGTTTGACATGATTTAATGTAACTTATGGCTTACAAAATGATGACTGTCTTTAAAGAAAGTCATTACTCCTTTGACCTCTGCCTGTCCCCATTCTGTTTTTACTTCAGTTTAATGCACATTTATAGTTTGCCTCCCCATCTGCTAGCTAGTAGGTGCTCGGGGAGACAAAAGCAAGACAGTTCCTGCTTGGGGATGCTCTTAGTTGAATAGATGGAAATGCAGACCCATAATTTTATTTACATGCAGAAATACTGATCAGAAGATACTAATTGAAGAGTGAATAAATTGGGCATCACCATGCAAGGCTTTTCTGATGGTGATGTTCAAATTGGAGGGTGAATTAGAATATTCCAAACTTCTTTAGGGGAGGGCACTGGAGAGAAGCCTGACCTTCTGCAGGCATGACGTGTCACTTCGAGTTTTGTGAGACACTGTCTTTTAGGTACAAGGATTCTCTCTATTACATCTATAGGCAGGGAATACAGTTTTATTTAAATTTTATTTAATAATGGCTCAGTTAAGGTAGAAGCCCAGAAATACTCTGTAAAATCGGCAGCAGTTACGCTGCTAAGGACCAAGTGGGAACCTGTATGGTCTAATCACTCTTCTTCCTTCCTGCGGTGTCTGCTAACGCATTAAATTCTGGCTCATGGAAGGAAAGGACCTTGTTTTTTTGTCCCTTCTCAGCCTTAGAAAAATGCTTTCTAGATGATGGAAGTTCAGTATTTGCTAAAGTAGAGTAACTGAGGTGATCGTTTATAAAAAATAAACCCTTTTTTCTCTGATTCTTGGTTAAACAGTGCCTTTACACTGCCTCCTGCCCTTCTTCCTCGTGTCTTCTTGTGCTGCCTGTTTCCTACGTTCATTTAAAATACGTGCTCTTTAGTCTTAATTTTTAAAAAAAAATTATCTCCTACATAATTTTGAGTGTTTTTGCCCTGCATGTACTTGAAAATAACTTTATTCTGGGCTTTAAATTTTTTAAAATAACATAGAACTATGTTGTTCAGAGATCACAGTGCTTAGTAGCTTCTTTCATTTCATGGTGGAGGCTTATGTGTGTGCTTTCTCATTCATTCAAGGTGTAATTATTACAGAAAATTCACCAGACACTTGAGTTTATAGACTATATCAGTAGCATGTTATGCATTTTGGCTCCTGCCATTATGAAATTCATGGAGATAGATTATAAATATTTGCTGAAGGAATAAAAGATTAAAGCAGAAAAACATTATTACAATTATTATTATGATTATTATTTTTTGAGACAGGGTCTTGCTCTGTAGAGCAGGCTGGCTTCAAACTCAGGGTGATCCTCCTGTTCCAGCCTTCTGAGTGCTAGGATTACAGGTGGGGGCCATGAGGCCCAGCTACAGTTACTTTATTTTAGTTCTTATTCTTTCCTTTCATAGTTGCTTAATTATTTTTTATTATTATACCTTTGCTTTTTTAGCAGTTATTTTTAGTAGTGGTTCTATACCCTGTAGGAAGTTGGTGTGAAACTATTAAAACATGCAGTTTTATCTTTAAACACTATGAACAGCTGAAACGTGCCTTAACACCCTCAAAAACGTAAAACTCAGCCTCAGTAAAAAACGATGAATGATACTATTTTGGAATTTTGTTAGCAGACTAAGTGGTACCTTTTTCTTGAAATAGTAAAGCCATTACTTTGAAAAATCAAAGTGACAAGTCTTGGTTACATTATATTATATACCAATTTTTGCAAAGAAAAAAATTTTATTTTACAAGCTTTTTTCCTTCCCTGGTATTTTGGCCCTTTGCATGTCTTGCTTTCATTAAATTAGTGCTTACTTGTCTGCTATTTTCTGTTCGTCTTCATTTCTACAGCAGTCTTCAGCAGCTTTCAAAATTATAAATGTGACTTTCCTGTGGCAGTTTAAAAAATGTTTAATCGGTGTGGTGCTGGGTGTTTTTCCCACCCTTAAGGGAAACCTGAATCTTCTCCTTTATTTTTAAATTTCTTGGTATTAAGCCTTTACTAGCTATTAACTACTTACAAGGTCTATTTAAGTCTACTTGATAATGTTTCTTTTATATGTAAGTCTCAGTGTCATTTTTGTGTTAATAGCAAGTCACCATGCCAATAATACATATTTCAGTATTTTCAAACTTCACAAATGCCTCTGATACATAATAGGTAAAATATTGTCTTTTGTCATGAATTCCTACTTCATGAATTCAAACTATAATATGTGTCTGTTGTTGATGTTATGTCTATAGTTCCACTATTCCATATGGAAGAGTATAAAACTGTCACTTGTGCATGTAAAAAGCATTTTTTTCTGCTGCATCTGGTGTAAGTATAAAAGCTATGGGTGTGCTTATTTTTGTGTATCTACACCTTGGGAAAATGTAGTGTGGCTGTAATGTAAAAAAGGTGTTACTCTTAAATAACAGACTACTGTTTAAAACTTCAGTCATTTAGCTACAATGTCAATATTTTCCCCAAATCATGCCCTGTAGCTTTGACCAGTCTTAAACTCAATTTGCTCTTTTAGTGTAATTATTTTGTCATAGTATTTTTAACATAAAATATTTTCTGAAAAGAAATTGGAAAAATAATGAAACAAATTGATAAACACAGATTTTTAAAGTTGGCTTTGCACATGAACGTTACTTTATTATTGCTGTATATATATATATATATATATATATATATATATATATAGTACAGCTTTCTGTATGTTAAATTTTAAATTTGACACAATTTAAAACATCCTGTTTTTGATTAATCGGCAGACTTCATAGAAAGAATTAAAGTATGACTTCCCTCAAGTACAAAACAGTTTCATGGCATCTTTAACTTCTAGTTTCATATGTGAAATGTTTTAAACTTTCAAAGAAAGGAGATAGATTACTTTGTGTTTGTAGGGAAGTGAAGTGGATACAGACAGAAAGTTTAGATTCTAGATAAGACCATGAGATTTGCCAAAAAATTCTTAATTCGTCTTATAAATGCAGAATGCCTCCTTCCCCCCATAAGAAAATTTTAGCATGGAAGAATCTAGCTAACGTAATTCTTCTCTAAAACATTATCAAGCATAAAGTTTATCATTTTAAATACATTGTGCCTTATTTGCAGTTTCGAATGTGGTATAGTTGGAAAGATTCATGAAAAACTTCTTCCTTGTGGAGCCATAGCCTTTTTATAAAAAAAGAAATGTTTGAAAACATTTGTCTTTAGCTGGGTGTGGTGGTGCACTCCTGTAATCCCAGCATTTGGGAGGCTGAGGCAGGCGGATTATTGTGAGTTTGAGACAAGCCTGGGCTACAAAGTGAGGTCAAGGCCAGCCTGAACTGCATAGAGACCCTGTCTCAAAAATACAAAAACAAAACAAACAACAGCAAAAACTCAACATTTATCCTTAGAGAAACAAATTGACTATGTTAATAAAAATAGGATTTCTGTTACCTCAAATCTAACAAAGAGAAATCTGGATTTCATCATCCTCAACACGTTTTGTGGTTTATACCACAGGTGGTGAAAATGGCCATGTTTGTGTCCTTGGTTATAACTAATCCTTCCTTCCTTTTTTGTCTCACTCAGTACTAAATGTGTAGGTGCTGAGTTTTTGCTTGAGGATTTCTGTAATTGTCTTGTCGAATAAAGTGTCTGAGGAATTCTGGAGCAGTTTTGTAACTGTCACAAACTCCTCTGCACAGGAATCTTGACCCTGTGTTCACTAGCAGAGCAGTCCAGTGCTGCTGCCTTGATTTTGTCTTACATGTGTATACATGTATATAACATGTATGTAACTTATCTGATACTTGCCAAGATAATGTAAAACAATCCTTAGGAAAGGGGAGCATCTAGAAATACTTTTGAAAAGTTTTTACTTTTTTCACTGTTAAAATCCAGTTGTTAAAAGTGAAATAACTTTATAGGAAAAGTTTATAGTGTCAGTTTGAAAATGTAGATAAATAACATCTTGGTAGTTTTTACTTGTATTAAAGTAGTTTATTTTGGATGCATTCACACTCAGTAGTGATAGTGATAAATGTGATATAAAATGTGATCAGTGAGAGTATCAGTTAAAATTTTTAATTACAGTTCTCACACTGATTTATTATACCAGGTTATGATTTATAACCTAAATTAAGTGTTAAGTAGTAACATTTAGTTACAAAGGCTGTTCTTTTTGCCTGTTGGCTAAACTATAGAATTTTGGAAAATTAATCTTTTCTAAGAGGTGCAAAGTTAACATTGAATAAATTGTAACTTCTGTGGAAATTTGGATTGTTAATTGCTTAGAATTACACATTTTTATAAAAAATTCATATCACTGTAAATGTCTTGTGCTTTCCTGCTGTTTAGATGCCCAGCCTACAGAGTCTGAGAAGGAAATTTATAACCAGGTGAATGTAGTATTGAAAGATGCAGAAGGCATCTTAGAAGACTTGCAGTCATACAGAGGAGCTGGCCATGAAATACGAGAGGTAAAGTGTGCTTTACACTTTCTTTTTTTTTTTTTTTTTAATTTTATTTAAGGAGAAAAAAAAAAACCAGAAAGGGTACAAGTTATATAGATTTACAGAAAAAAATAAGCAGTAGGAAATCACTAGTTAGTGGATCACATATTGTCATCTTAGAAATAATCGTTCAAGTCACAAAATTAAAGCTTGTAAAGTGGACATTCCAACAATGATACTGCAAACAGTTCTGTTCAATGATCCAATAAAACTCAGTGATATCATTTTCTCTCTTATACACTTAAATATACATGCAGTTATATCATTTAGAGCACTTTCTTTTCCTCTCTTTTGTACAATGATTATTACACATTTTGGGTTTTATTGCTCCCACGATTCTTATTACTTTTTTGGAAGAGAGTAAAACCAAATGTGACACAACAGAACAGAGTCGGTCAAATCAAAAGGGTGGACATAATAGATACTGTAAAAACATAATACAAGGTGATCAACAATGGTTACCATAATGCCTCCCGCTATCTCTAATAGAATTGCCTATATCATCAGTTATAATAAAATTGAACAAAACAGTAAAGAACAAAACCGACAAAACCAAAACATTGGAGACATTGTAGGTCTTCAAAAGTAGATAAAAGTCAACGAGAATGGGTGTCATAATGAATCTCACTATCTTCACAGCTGTTGCCTAAACTTTCGAACCTGGTACTATCCAGCAAAACAGAATAGGGGAACATCAGTCAAAAACAAGATGGTGAGAGTAGTACAGGGCTTTAAATCAAGATAATGGAAGGTCAAAGTGGGTTACTATAATATATCCTGCTATTTTTATTTATTTTTCCCTTAATTAAAAGGATAAAAATAAAAAAGTAAATAATGGAGTGGAGATTGAGATAAAAGAGGGCATAACAGCAAAACAGTGCAGATCAAAACATAACCAGTTAAGCAGAATAGTGTTTCACCACCAGATAATCCTGACATAAAAGTAGTTACCATATTGTCTCTTTCCTTGAAATCCTTGAGTACAACTTCGTATACTGTAGCATTAAATATATCAAAACAATGTAAAACCATTTAAGAGAATGACAGCATTACAGGATATTTAGAATCGACTAACAGAAAATGAACAATGGTTTCTGTATAATCTCCTTGTCTTTAAAAGTTTTTGCTTATACTATCGTACATAATAAAATCCAGTAAGATACAACCTGTTTAGACCAATGGAGACAGAAGAACAAAAGCTTGATGAGACTTCAAAACAAGATGATACTAAATCAGTATTACCTATTAAGACGTAATTTTCTCCAAAATAGCTGTTCCTATCATTCAATCTTCTCTGCCTCATTTCTGTTGAGCTCTTTTTCTGTCATTAGCTGTCAGTTTGTCTTCTTCATTTTGTTCTCTGCGCCATTCGTTGTGGCCTCCCCGCCACTATTTCTGGATTCTTTGTATTTTTCTTTTTTTAGAATATCCTGCAATACTCTCTGTAGAGTTGAATTGGTGGTTACAAATTCCCCCAGTTCCTTTTTATCCTGGAAGCACCTTGTCTTTCCATCAATTTCCAGGGACAGTTGTGCAGGATATCTCAATCTTGGCTGGAGATTATTATCTTTCAAAGTTTGAATTATTTCCCCCCACGCTCTTCGTGATTTGATGGTTTGTGCAGAGAAGTCTGCTGTAATTCTGATGGGTGTTCCCTTGTAAGTGGTCTGTTTCTTGTCTCTGACAGCTTTTAATATTCTGTTCTTGTATTGAATTTCTGGAATTTTTATTATTATTTGCCTGGGTGTTGCTCTGTTTGGGTTGTAGGTGGCTGGGGTCCTGTATGCCTCATACATCTGAGTATCTTTACCTTTTGCTAAATTAGGAAAATTCTCCTGGATTATTTCTGTGAGTAGCTTTTGTAGCTCATTTGATTGTGTCCCTGCTTCTTCTTTTATGTTCTTAATTCTTAAGTTATGGATCCTCTTATCATCTTCTTGTCTTTGTATTATTGCTGTTTGTTTCTTTGTTATTTTTAAGAAGTTTTTCATTTCATTCTCCCATATTACAAGTCTGCCCTCCAGTTCAGATAGTCTGTCCTTAGTTTCTTTCAAGCTGTTATGCCAGTTTTCGATAGACTTTTTAGTTTCCTGGTAGTCCCTTTGAACCTGCTTCACGTATTCTATGCTTTCTCTATTTTCTCCATCAAACAATTCTCCCCTCTTTTTCTGTTCTTCCATTCCACCATCTGTTTTTTCTTGGGTGGTGCTTAGCATTTCTCTAACTATTCTGCTTGCTTCTAGCTTCAGGTCATTGATAACTTCATTCCTGAACTGATCTATGAGGCTCTCTAGATGGCGCTTTATGTCTATTGGTGTGGTGTCCGCTATTACCTGTTTCTCAGGATTGGCAGCCGAAGAGCCTTTCTTGTTGCTGCCTCTCCCCATATTCTTTGTTCCTTATATATGCAAGCGTATATAGGAGGCCCAGCTTCCTTCCCTGTCAGCCACAGTCTGATTGAATTGCGCCCGTTAGGTGTTCCCGCCCCCGCAGCGCACCAGGAAGTTCCAGACCAGGCAGCCTACGCGGGGCCGCCCCTCAAGGCCACCATCAGGCTCTGGGATCTGGGTTGGGCCAGCCTACTGGATCCGCCAGCAGCGTCACGTAGGCTAGGGACTTCTCACCAATCCCGCCTGAGAGGGGCATTTGTCGCTGAAGTCGCCACCACGCCCTGCTCCCGCAAGTCTGTCCAGTCCCAGAATGTCCTCCGCTGGAGTCAAACTGTGGTAGAGTGTCAGTTTCTCTCATTCACCTCACCACAAGTCAGTGCACGCCTCCCTGCCCGTCCTGTTTTCGACTCCGTTCGCAGATTCCTGTTCTCAGAGCTTCCGCGCATCTCTCTCTTTCCCGCACGGCGGGAAACCCAAATCGTGGCTTCCAATGGCGCGGGCTCCAGCCTCCACACGGAGGCTTTTCTGTTCCTGTTCTAGCACCAGGACTGCATTCCAAGTTGGTTTCTCTCAGCCCAATTCGTTCCTGGGTCAGCAGAGCATATCTCCACCGGCTTATGTCTCCTTACTCCGCACCCTTCCTGACTTCTGAGCCGGATCTTTCAGAGAACCTCCCGTAGCTGCTGTTATCTGTCCGCCATGTTCTCGTTCATTCGTCACACTTTCTGTGTAGGCTGAAACTGAATGTGTCTCACTTGTTTTTAATTTCTGTTTAAGTTTAGTTTTGTTTTCTAAATTTTAGAATTTTCCATTTCTTATCAAGTGTATTTAAAGGAATATCATTTGATGTTATTTTATAAGTAGTTGCAGTGACACAAGGGTAAAAAGAAAACTTCATAAATATGTAATTTATATTAAAGATTTATTTTTATTGGTTACTCTTACACTTGAAATTTACATTTCCCATGGGGGACAAGTTATACTTTTTAAGTTAGGGACGGGGAAGAAGAGCCTTTCTGTGGCTTTGTTCTATCATTTTTGTATTCTGAAGCTTCCAAGGAGGAAATTGCAGTCACCCAGGCAGTTTTTCTCTCCATTGCTACCTCCCTTGTGTGTAGTGACTTCCACCACAAGAAAAGTTTGTGGTTTGGTCTCATTCTGCTTTTCTCTCCAAACTTCTGAATTTATCCAGGTTTCCCGCCTGGATAAATTTTTTCATTTCTTGTATTTTTCAAAAAGTGTTTTGCCTCTGCTTTTACTAAGACTGCTAGGTTACCTTTATTCTCTGTCTTATTCTGGAACGTTACTGTATAAATTACTCCTTAATTGTGTGCTGTCTTCTCTTTTGCTGGAGTTTTCCCTTTGCACAGAATTACTCGGCTGTCCTGTAGTGCTCAAATTCCCTATCCTCTGGACTTGCATCCTTTTTATATTTTCACATTTCCTGAGGCAGTGCTCACATTTTGTTTCTCTATTTTCTACTTGTGTTGTTCTCAGTAACAGATAGTACAGAGGTCATCAAGAGCCAGTGCTTTAGGCTTACAGTCTCTATTCAGCTTAACTTCTCTGCCGAGACAGAGAGTTCTAGTGAAGTCAAAGCCAAGTGCAGACTCAGAGATGACAGTTCAGGAGATGTGGTGGTGGTCGGCTGGGTGTTCAGTGTAAGTCAGAAGGGCTGAGTATGGTGGGATACACTGGTAACCCAGCTACTTGAGAGACTGAGTCAGGAAGATTGCAGTTCCAGGCCACCCTGGGCAATTTAGGGGGATCCTTTTTCAAAGTTTTAAAAGGTCTGTAGATTATAGTTCAGTGGTAGAAAGAAGTTTTTTATAAATGAGTTAAGGACAGGAAAGTAGGTAAATAAAATACACAAGCTAGAACACTTTTATAAAACTGCCGGGTATTAATCTATAAACGAGGGCAAAGATTTTAAGTATTTGAACTTTTGAAGAAATTGTCATTGAGAAATGCATGCTAATATATAGGTTTAATGTTATAAAATAGAAAAGGTTTTTTGAATATTAGCTTAAATTAAAAGGAACAAATAAAAGCTGACTATATGCCAAATATACAAAGAAATGATAAAATTTTCAGAACTGTTATCAGTATTGACTTTAATATTGCCAATTAGGCTAAGGAGAGTGAAAAACTATACTACCTGTGAAAAAGAACAGACAGCAGAAAAAATGTTCAGCTTTTGCTAGTAAGTGCACATCACTCTCAGGGTTTGGTTTATGAAGATATCTCAATGCAAGTAATAGTGTAGAATGGCTCTTTATGTTCTGTTACTTAGAATAATAAATGATGCATAAAATACAAATGCTGGCTATTGAAGTCTTGTAGTAGGTACCAATAGCTTAGAATATATATTCCTATATAATTCAACTATAATTTCAGGGGAAATATGAATGCAAAGCTTCTATGGCTCTTGTTTAGCAGAGATGTGGAAGTAACTTGGAGTTGTAAGGTCAAAATTAAATTGTTCATCTGAACAACACAGTACAGTGCTTGAAACACTGCTAACCATCTGAGACTTTCTTGTTATCAGTATGGTAATGATGTAGAAATATATATATACATTATAGTAACTTTTTTGTTTCTCTATTAAACTGATTTGAACCCCTGTATTGTTCTCCACATCTTGTTCTGACTGATTTTATTATATTCTGTTTTGCTTAATAGTATCAAGTTTGAGGGTATAGGCAACCACTTGGAAGGCAACGAGATATTCTATGATTCCTGTTACCGTTTGACTATTATCTTCTTTGGAAGTCCTGTAAGCTCTCCAATGTGGGTTTTATTGGTCTTCTGTACTGTGTTGTTCAATTCTTTTATACCAGCTGATACAGGCAACTCTTTTTAGGATAACAAGAGGCATAATGGTAACCATTGTTGATCACCTAGTAATCTTTTTTTTTTTTGCATCATATATACTATGTTTTGTTTTTTGTTTTTTTTAATCTTTTTTCTTTTCCTCTTCAAAGAAAAAGTTATAAGAACTATGGGAGTAATGGAAACCAAAAAGTGTGATTGTTAGCGTAAAAAAGAGAGGAAGGAAAGTGATCTAAAGGATTTAACTGCAAGTATATTTAAATGTGTAGGATAGAGAACCATATTGCTGAGTTTTTGTTGGATCATTAAACAGAACTGTCTGCAATCTCACTGTATTAATCTCACTGTATTAATGTCCACTTTGTATGCTTTAATTTTGTAATCTGGACAACTGTTTCTGAGATGACAATGTGTGATCTATTAACTGGTGAATTCTTACTATATATTTTTTCTCTTGAAATTCTGTATTCTAGCCTTTTACTGTTTTGCTTCATTTAGTTTTGTTTTTCTCTCTAAATAAATTTTTAAAAAAGAAATATATATATATATATATATATATATACACATAAAATAAGTAAAGCATCATTTAAAATATGTGAGTGAGGATAGAGTCTGTAAAACTAGCATAGCCTGTTTGCCAGGATAAAGCACGGGAAGGCAGTGCATTGCTAGGAATGTTGGGGTGTGTCCATAGCAAGTTTTAAATTCTGGAAACAAGTTACAGTACCTGCTCTACAGGAGCCTGGCGCCGAAATTTACTGGGTACTCTTGTGTCTGTCAAACTCTAAGGGTTGTTAACCCAAAACCTTAGTTCAACAGCGGAGACACTGATTTGAAAGAAAGAGGAATCAGAAGTTCAAGGAGAACTCTGACTCACAAAAGGCCCCAGTGTCCTCAGTCCTACCTTCTGGGAAGGTAGAAATGTTCTGTTGGTGAGAATGGAGGCCATTTACTGCAGCGCTTCCGTTTTCGTACTGTGGGAATGATTCGATGCTTACTCTTCGGAGACCCCTTGCAAAGAAAGTTGCAAGAGCTTCTCACAAGAAGTAAATGAAATTTTAATTTTCATCTATTTACTTGTTCAACAAAAGTAAAATAAATTTATACTGCTTGATAATATTTCTAAGTCTGCTCTTTAGGCTAGAAGGATTTTTTAAAATTACATCAAAGCCTGACATGTTAGGAGTGGTGTATGATGTGATGTCAGGTTTTCTTTAGTATAACATTTCTAGGTAATCACATAAAATTGAGTTCAAACTCGTAGTAGGTTTAAGCATTCATGTATTTTTATTTAAAACTTGAGAAAATTTAGAAATACAAGTGGATGAATCACTTAACCTTTGACCTAAGTTCAGTTATTTTTGTTCTTGCTTTTTGTGTTTTTATATAGTGTCAGTGGTAATGGAAAATCTAAACATCTTAGTACCTCCTGGTGATGTTTATAAGCAGACCTCTACCTTGATTGTGAATTTCAACTTCAGATGTTGTGTTTTTTTTTTTAAGATGTTCGAGAAAGTGAAGCATTATGTTTTATAATAAATTAAGGAAGTACCTGTAATAGAAAAGAAAAGCAAGAAAAATTTATTTAGAGTAATTCTCAGTGTTCAGAAAAGGTTACCTAAGAACTTTTAAGAATGGTTTAGATGGGCCGGGGATACAGCTCAGCAGCGCCTGCCTGGCAAGCACAAGGTTATAAGTTTGGTCTCAGACACTAACAAAACAAAACAGACAAAAAAAGAATAGGGGAAAAAAAGCATACATATATTAAATTAATATTACACTTACATTAAAGATCTCCACATTACTATTTTTTTAAGCTAGTATCATCTTACTAAAGAAAGCCTGAGAAAACTTGAAATCCAGTATAGAATTTTAGTTACAGAGAATAAACATCTGTGGCAATTTCTGAATCATATTTTTAAGGTTGGTTAAGGTTCTGAGTGTTTGCTAGGTTTCTGGGAGCTGGTTCAGATCATGGAAACATTGGTTGACTCTTAATCTGGTCCTTGAGTGGTCAATCTTCATTTATTGCCAGATCTTTACGTTTCCTCTGGAGAACTACAAAAGGCTTCCTACATTTGCTAAGACCTACATTGTAATACAGAGATGGTATTATTTTGATGTTTAAAAATCTTAACTATTCTTATTCTTTGAATTTTAAAGGCAATCCAACATCCAGCAGATGAGAAGTTGCAAGAGAAGGCATGGGGTGCAGTCGTTCCATTAGTAGGCAAATTAAAGAAATTCTATGAATTTTCTCAGAGGTTAGGTAAGTTGGAAGTTTTGTGACTCCTATTCAGGCCAACATTTATTAAACTCTTTCATGTTTATAGTACTGAATTTGACTGAATATCTGATACATAAGTAAATCAGGGTATAAAGTTACAGTGTAATCTGGGTATCATTTCTATTGACTTTCAAATTATTTACACCATTTTCTTACATATTACAGATTTCCACAAGCCAATCTCTTTAATTTTTTTGCATGCTAAACAGCCTTAGTATTAGAAACCACTTGGTAGAATTTGTGTCAAGCTATATAGTAAATCTTTTACTATACAGTTTTTAAGAACACAAAAATTTTAATAACTCGGGGACTTCACTAGTCTGTCCAATGTAAAACAGAAGCTGGACTAGTAGTGTTTGTATGGTTACCTTTAGCTTACTGTAAATAAGAATTGCTCTGTAAGATTTTACATTATGCCAGTTCTTTCATAGTGTTTGCTTTTTAGTCAGCTGTGTGTGTAGTCTGTAGCTTTGTAACCCTCTGCAACCTGTCAACCTAAGTCTCTTAATCTTGGTTATCTACACTACTACATAATGACGGTTTTTCTTATGCTGCTAATTTCTAGCTTATTTGTAGTTCAAATGTTTTAAAAGGCTTAGATTTCTTTGTTTTTTAGGGTCTTTCTCGTTTATTTTTGGCACACCTTTGATATGCAGAAGGATCATATTCATCATAAGGAAGTTGTAACTGTATATAAACTTGATTCTTCTGTTTTTTGTATTTCTTTCCCTTCCCTCAAGCCTTCTAACCCTCCTTATTTACAAAAGTTTGTATCCATTTTTTTGTTTTTTTTTTTTCCTTTTCCTTTCATCCGCCCTCTCCTGTGTTCCTCTTCCCATTTGAACATTTTCTTCCTAATTCCCTGTATCTATCCATTTGGTCCTTTTTTATGCCTTTGGTCTCACACGAGAAACAATGCCTTATTTAAATATGTCCAGTTTATTTCATTTAAAAGTATGCTTTCAAGTTACACCCATCTACTCGAAGTGTCTCAAGTTAAAGTCTCAAGTTTATCCTCCTTATGGCAGAGTAATACTCAGTGGTTTATAAAAATCACTTAGAAGGCTTAAATTACTCCTGCAGCTATGTTGATCTGTTAGCTTGTGTCAACAATAAAAGAATAATGAAAAATAGGCCAAACTCTTTTTACTTAAATGCTGTCTTATAACTTAACCATTAGAGTAGTCAGTCTGGGGATGTGTGTTGCATTGTGGAATACTGTTCCTTATCAGTGGAGAGAGATGATAGCACAGTCAGCCCTCCTCCTGCTGTCATTCTGGAGACTCTGACTTTAATTATTGTATTCTAGAGTTCTCTGAGGTTGTCAGTAAAGCACAATTTAGACTCTAAGGATTGCTCTCATCTCTCAGTCACTTTGTAGTTTCTAGCTTCCTCCCTAGGCAGATGCGTTCCTATTTGCTCATGGGAGGGACTCCCTCAGTATTTGTTGGAGAAGTGAGGCTTTCGTGGAAATGCGCATGTGATAATAGCAGTAAGTCCCTGGTTAGGGATGAAGTCCATCTGGGAGAAAGCCCAATTGCTTCCTAAGTCCAACATAGTGACACAGATACACTGCGGTAAAGCATAAAAACCCCAAACTCACTACAGGAATATTATTCATAAACTTTCTTACTTTTGTGGTTAACCTTGAAGTGGTGGTGCAGCACAGTGTAACAACTGGCGTCTGAAGGACTTTGTGGAGTTAGACTGACAAGAGGAGAGTTATGAACTGGAGGAGGGAGGGCAGGGGAGCCTGATCTAGGATGAGAAAAAAGAGCTACTGCTCAGGTGTCACTGGATCACTTTTTTTCCAAGAGGGTGGACAGTTGACTCCTTCAGAAAACCTGTGTCATCAGCATGAGGTGGGAGGGAAATTCCGTCCTGCCCTCCTCCCGCTGCAGGTGAGGACCCTGCAGCTCCACTGTCTCCACTTGCCCTCCTCCGCCACCATCGGTAGTTGTCGCACTGTGCAGTAAGCACATGCTTGTGCAGATCAGGAGCTGTCCCAGATTACCTGACTAATTAAGGAGATGCTGAGTGACAACTGCTTACACTTGCTTGTTGTGGTCTGAAGTCTTGGAGCCATTCCTCTTGTAACAGCAGCCTGTGGGAAAATTGTTTTGCCTCAGTCTACCTTCTGTTCCAGGCTCACATTTTAAGTGCTGCCTCCAGATCTCAGAACGGAGAAGTCTGTTCAGCATCTTAGATTGTTTTCACTGGGCTATATCTGTCAGAGCTGATGTAAATGGTAAACGTGCCATCATACTTGTGGGCATGTTTGTTGACCATCCTAAGTCCTCCCCAGTGCACATCCTGTGGGGTTTCTTCTGGTGTTTTGAGATGGCAGTTGGTGAGAATAGAAGGCTGTTGCATCTGAAAGGAACTCTTTGCAGGATCTTCTTCTGGCCCCCTCAGTGTCCCCCTGCCCTGCTTGTTCTATCCCAGGAACTGGTTTGACTTCATTATCTCTCCCAGGCATATTTTTCTTGCAGCATGGTTGTGTAACTGCTGTGGACTCAGCTCCTTGCCCCATCTGTCTCAGAGTTTAAGGATCAGCTAACAGTTTCCTTCCATCATGTGCTGTTTTTAAAATTCATTACCACATGGCTTTTTTGTTTGTTCCTGTTTTGATTTGTTTTTTGATGCAGGGTCTCGCTCTGTAGCCCATGCTGGCCTGGGACTCAAGGTGATCCTCCTGCCTTAGCCTCCTAATGTGTTCCACCACGCCTGGCTCCATGTGGCTTTGTTCGCAGTTCCTCAGAATCTAGCCCCTGAATCATCTCTTCTTTGACCTCCCTCTCTTTCCAACTTAGCCACCCTCTGTGGACCACAGTTTTGCAGTCACTGGCTGACCCACTTCGGCCCTGAAATGGTATAGTGCTTGGAATGCTGAAACTAACCCTGAGGCTTAGTCATATCTAGGTGACACAAATCCCTCTTATCTTTAACATCGTGTAATTATTTCTTTTTTATAATAGTTTTTCTTGTTCTCCTGTTTCAGACTTTGCTTCCATGTACATTAACACTGACAGGTGGAATGAATCTTGGGAGAAGCAAACTTTCTGAAAAAAGCAAAAGTATTTTTCCTCATAATTCATCTTATCCATAGCAACGCTCACACCTCTAAACATCATCCATACCCTAGAGTCCAGTCTCCACTGCAGACGCAGTGAGGCTTTAAAGTGCTAACCTGATAATGGCACTGCTTGCTCACATGGTTTCTCCAGGGACATGGGGTGACAGGATTGGGGTGCTTCCTTGGCTCACATGTGTCTGGTTACTCCTTTCCCCTGTCAATCTGCCCATACTACGCTTGCCATTCTTCAGCTTCCCAGGCTCTTTGAGTGCAGGCTGTGGCTCCCTGCTCTGCTGATCTGCAAATCCTTGCGCATTCCTAGCTCATAGCTCGGTCTCAGCCCAGCATCATTTATTCAGGGATCCCTCACTGGGGAGTGAGGGATGAGGGGAGGCCTCCACCGTGTCTACACTGCACTGTGTTCTTAAGTGCTCCTTTGCAGCATGGCACCTGTGGTCATCTGTCTTTCTCTTACATACTAAGACTGTCTTTGGGCATAGTGTCTTCTTCTCTTTCCCCAGCACCTAGGGGTGAGTCAACAGGTTTTCTGATTCACTGACCAAGAGAATAATAGCTGTATCACCATGTGATGAGGGGCAAAGCCTGAAATGGCTAGTTTAGCCCAGAACCTGGCACTTTCTAGACATATAGGGAGTACTTACTATTGTAGTAATCAGTGTGGTATTATGTAAGGTTGCAGAGTGTCAGGTAGAAGGTTGCTTTATCTGGGAGGCAGTTTATTATGGTTTATTAAGATCAGAACACTTGGCATTGACTAGCTGTATCTTCAGGCTCTAACCTCTTTTGAACTCAGTATTTCCATTGTAATGCCCTTTGTTGATGTAAATTAAATGAGAAGGTTAGATCACAGAATGGTTGTTGGCTCACAATTAGGTCTTCCAAAATAGTATAGGTGGGATTTTTTTAAGTTAAGGGCTGATAATTTGATATAAACTTAGTAGCATACTACTTGCGTATTTTGATATTTATTAATGTTATGTTACTACTTAATTCTGTAAAGCTTTTTTTTGCTTTACAGAATCTAGCATTGTTTCCTGCCCCTGAAACCAGTAGTGAATTAGTTTATGTTCTATGATTTTTTTGAAATGAAATACTAGTACTTCCATTTTTAAACCCAGTATTAGTTTTATGTTCCAAGGGTGAGTTAATTCAAAGAAACTATTTTGCTCGTTAGAATTAGAACATTTTTATTATGTCCTGAAATGCCACATCCAAAGGTAGTTAGGGAGCTTATGAAATTAAATGTTTTATTCTTCTTACCAGCTAAAAGGAAAAAGCCTCTCTTTGTAAATGAGCGGCTCAAGCAGGGTCTGAGACAGTGGTGTCCGGTCACAGCTGTGTGCCTGTGTGACTGTGGGGACACAGTGCCAGCCAGGACGTTACTCAGAGCTGTCAGTAGGAGTTACTACTTCATGAAGCCAAATTCCACGCCAGGAGGAATGATGAAATTCACGTAAAGGTTGACCTTTGACTGTAGTGGTTACTCCAGATTCAGTCTGCATTTTATTTTGACTGGGTTTGTAGAATTTTAAAATTGAACTAGTCACTTTAAGGTTTTGCGTGTACTAAACAGCATTCTGCACGAGTGTATGTAATACCTTAGTAGTGACACAGTGTTAACAGCAGTTGATGTGATTTCGTGTAGAGCATCTGTTTTTTAAAGAGACTGTTTAGAAATTGAAAGTAAAACATTTATGAGTTAGCCACTCTTTAATAAACAACTACCAAAGCTGCAAAAAACTTAATGTTTTTATTTTCTTTTCACTAGAAGCTGCATTGAGAGGCCTTCTGGGCGCCTTGACCAGCACCCCATATTCTCCCACCCAGCATCTAGAGCGAGAGCAGGCTCTTGCTAAACAGTTTGCAGAAATCCTTCACTTCACACTCCGCTTTGATGAACTCAAGGTAGAACTTTCTACTGGCCTCTGTTATTTCGAAAGTCATTTATTTCAATGAGTAGTAGAAGGAAAGCCTGGAAGCCTTGTTAAAATGCATTGAAGTGATATCTGCTGCACCTTAGCATAAATGAAAAGCTGCGTTTGAAAACATGAAGCCTTCTGAATATATGAAATCAGTGTTTGATCTTCACTTTTAGAACCACAGAAACAGTAATACTGAGCATGTTGTTTTCTTTTTTTTGTCTGATCATTCCTGGTTTTTTCAACATTTTTTATGTAAAACTGTTTTTGAAACTTCTCTTGCCCTTTCCCCTCCTCCGCCACTACCAGTTGTGCCTCTCTCCCTTCTCTTGCCCCTGTAGTGTAGTATGTACACACGAGGCGAAGGGATGAGCGGAAAGGGATCTGTATTGGTTTCGTGTCAGGAGACCTGAGTTCAGTATAGGCTCTAGCACAGTAATTATGAGGCCTTGGGCTTGTCCTTTGGTTTTTTCAGGGATTGGAGTACATAGTCTAGAAAATGGTAGAACTGGATTCCTAACTTTGACATTTCATGCTGTATCATAGACGGTGAATTCTCTGTAATGCTTTGAACAAAAGATACTTGTATAATATTTTGTCTGCTTAAGGATTGCTCTTATTATTCAACACACACACACTTTTACTCAAAACTAGTGCCTATACATTTCCTTCTTGGCTATGCTTGATAATACCCATTTTCTTGGTGAACAGGCTTTTTGCACATTACTTGAAAACATTGAAAAGAAGCTACACTGCCCATAAGAAAACAACAATCTGTGATTTTGTATGCTCAGCAAGGACTAAGTGTTTTAAGCTTTCTTAAAAGGATGTGTGTGTATGTGTGTATGTATGTATGTATGTATGTATGTATGTATGCATGTATGGATTTAAACAAATTTGTATTTAAAATGACTTTGAAAATAGAGAATATTGTATAGCTAGTTAAAACTATATATATGGTAGATGTTTGACTTGTTACATTAGCTTTTGGCTTTTAACACATTTTTCTTTCATAAATACCTTCCTTAGATGACAAATCCTGCCATACAGAATGATTTCAGCTACTACAGACGAACGTTGAGTCGAATGAGAATTAATAATGTTCCAGTAAGTTAGTGCCTTGAGTGAGGGGGTGGTAAGAAACTCCACTCTTCATTTTATTCTTTACTTTGTTCATTCATTCACCCATTCATTCAGATGTTAAAGCTAGTGTTGAAGTTAGTAATTATGGACAACCACAGCTGTGGGAGGAAGGGAAGACCATATGGTGTTTATGTGGTTTTTTTTTTTCTCAGACTTTTAAAATTCCCATGGCTGCTTCAGTAAGATTGCTTTTTCTCTAACATTGATACTGCAGCCTTTTCTATGTATTCTCATTTTAATTGTACGGAAGTTTTTTTCAGTTAGTGGTTATAAGGATATTTTTGTCCTCATGTTCTTAGACCCAAAGAATTCTAAAGAGAAATTAACCTTAAATAAGAAAAAAAAACCCTGATAATATCAAAAGGAGAGGGTGAGGGCCTGGACCATTAACACATCTGTGCCTAATTATGGCTCCCAAGAAAATGGTTTCTGGGCCTGTTCCTTGGCCAACACAGCCTGTCTCCTGATTCTTTAGGCCTGTTAAATCTCTTCCACTTTTTCTTAAATTCCAGTTAAGTATTCTTCCTTACTTCTAAGGAGTTTAGTACTAGAAGTAAAACTTTAAATATGAAGAACACCTTAATTTTCCTGTGTATTCTGAAGACTTACATTGTGCTAATTTGTATGAAAAGTGACAGAACTCAACTGTAACCTCAAGTAGGTAGTTTAATAGAGAAGTACTTTTAGTTTTGTATGGAGGTCTGGGGATTTAGCTCAGCAGCATAAACGTCTGCCTTGCAAGCAGGCAGTCATGAGTTTGATCCCTGGTACCGATTTAAAAAAAAATTTTTTTTTGGTATGGAGTGGTTAATGGCATGAGAGATTAAAGAAAGTTCCAAAGAAGCTTTTCTTTTTCATTGCAAATAAACAGTAGTTGCTTTTAAGGCAATCACTTGATTGGAAATAAAGAATTGTTTTCCATGATTCATTTATTTGCTTCAATTTGGTCTTCCACAGACTGATTCCTAGTGTAGAGGTGACCTCCTTTCCTGTCTTATAAATATCTACCATGTAGAATAAAAATAAAACACCTAGTCTTGAGGCCAAGTCTAAGAAGCCATTTTTGTACTGTCATTCAGAATCAGTAATTACTGATAATGCCAATAGTTTTCTAGTGAGATCCTCTCAGATGTCTTCCCCAGCCTTCCTTTTCATCTTCCACCTCTACTGCAGCGGGAATCCAATTCCCAGCCTTTGGGACAGTCATTCTGTAGCGGCATAACTTATTTTCTGACTTGCAGCCTTTCTTCTTGGTGGTGTACTCTTCCTACCATTAGGAGTTAGTTTTCTTAGAACACGGGCTGTTCCCTTTTTCTGGCACTTCAAATGGCTACCCTTCCATTTGGAAGGAAATAGGAACTTGGGCCAGCATTTGAAGGTGTTCTGCAGTCTTACTCCACTTAATCTTTTGGTAATTACTATCTCCTTTTATAAGAGCATGCTGCAGTGCCCTCCATGGCATCATTTGAAAGTATATTTATCCCCTGCTGGACAGGAATACCTCGTTCATATGTCCCTCACCACCTGCAGAAGCTTAATTCTTCTGTGAGACCTTAGTTTCTTCTAGTGTGACTTTGTCTCTTTTTGTCCTTTTCCCCTCATTGCCTGTTACCATTCCATTGTGACGCCCTGTGGGAGGAGGGGAGGGTATGCTGTTGTGGTCGGTTTCCTTTCCTTCGTCACGTTCATGGCAGTCCCCTGAGTATAGTAGGAAATCCATCACACTTTTAATTCCTTCACAGCCTTTCAAATAATTTATAGATTTTTAAAATATAAATTGTTTTTTAAATTGCTAAGTATCATTTGTAATCTTTTGTTTTTAAAAGAATACTCAAGTATTACATGCATATGAAAGTCCAAAATTTAATTTATTAAGTGTATGAGGTGTAAGTACCTTTGTGGTCCTTTTGTAAACATAAGAACACTGAGTAGCTGCTGGACTGATATCTGGCACACATACTTTCTGTACAGGCAGAAGGGGAAAATGAAGTGAATAATGAATTGGCAAATCGAATGTCTTTATTTTATGCTGAAGCAACCCCAATGCTGAAAACGTTAAGTGATGCTACGACCAAGTTTGTATCAGAGGTGAGTGCCCCAGGTGGTTGGGGTTTACACCGAGGCTCCTGCTCCTGTTCTGGATGATGACCTCAGCACAGCCCAGCGCTGCAAATCTCGGCTGTGAACTGGGTACCCAGATGTGGATGCCGAATCCTGGCCTGCCCTTGAGCTCCTCATATGCACACCGGTGTACCTGTTGCAGTGTCTCCCCAGGGCTCATGTTGACAGTGCAGCACACACGTAGCCTCCCTGCACTATTGGCTATCTTTTGCAATGCTGTCCTTTCTCCAGTCTTCCTTTCTGGATTTTACTAATTCCCGTGTATAAGCAAAACAAACAATTTAGGGGTTATCATTTTAAATTTCTTCCTTCACCTTCTTACAGCTCTGTCATTGACTAGTTTTATTGACTTGCCTTCCAAAAAATCCTGTGAATCTGGAAATTGAACCTCTCCTCTTCCTAGCTATGCATGTCTTAAACCTCTGCCCTTACCTCTGGATCACTGCATTTGTGTTCTGACTATTCCACTTCCTCCACTGGTGCTGCTTGTATAATTCTGCCTCTGCAGAGCAGCCAAGTAATGTGACAGCATAAACCACATCTCCTCTCTCCTCTGCCTAAAACATTTCTGGTGATACCCATACCCTTAAAATAAAATCCAGGTATCATGTGGCTTTCCAGAAAGGCCCCACCCCTCTGTTCTGTCGCATGAGCTTCCTTATTCTCCCATCATTGGTGTGCCAGTGCTTCTCAGGACACCAACACCTGGCTGTTCTGCACATTACTGTATCCCCAGCGCTCAGAACAGTGCTTAGAAAATTTAGAAATTTAGGAGTCAGATTATAAAGTTGCTGATTTTTCATAGTATGCTGACTTTTAATATTCTTAATGACTTTGCTACTTTTTTTGACCTTCCTGTGCTTACAGAATAAAAACTTACCAATAGAAAATACCACCGACTGTTTAAGTACCATGGCTAGTGTATGCAGAGTCATGCTGGAAACACCGTGAGTATCATAGTCGAAGTTTGTCAGTTTAACGGTACTCTTGAGGTAAATTGGTATTTCAGAACACCCAAGTATGAACATGTCTTATTTGGAAGGTGAAGATTAAGTATATCCTAACTATTCATTGTGCACCTATAACAAAATTCAAATAATTTTTGCAGCTGACTGTCCAATTAAGCACCGAAATGGTTTCTAGGTATATGATTAATCTGGTAGCCTCTGCAGAACAGGAATTTTGTGATACTCTTTCGGTCAGGGAAGGCAACTAGAGAAGATGGTTATGCTAATTACTATAAGCATTTTCCTCCCTGTTTTATTAAAGAACATTGCCATTTTGCCAAAGGCTAGAGTTACTTGTTTATCCCTTCCTCACTTCTAGTTCCTTTATTTTTGAACATGAACCTGAATTCTCTTCTGAGGGAAGAAGAATTCTCTTCTGTCTCTCAAGGCACCATGTGTGTTGGCTGGATTTTCCTGTCAGTGAGCAGAGAATCCCCCTTGGATTCTTGATCAGTATGTGGTGACTTGTGTTTTGTGGTACTTTTACTCCCCAAGTGCTCTTCTCTAGGGAGAACCTTATTAAGTGGGGTGGCAGCTGTCACCATTCTTCAGCCTGAGGCAGGGAGTGGGGTCCTGGGAAGTGAAGGGGCTTGAGCCTCATTCACATGTCAGGACGTTCCAGTCCTGATCTGGGCCCCTTGGGCAATGCCATGCTACTTTCTGCATATATAAGTGTTCTCTTTTTCCCAAATGAAAAAAGTATATAATTGAATTTTAGTAAAATTCAAATCAAGCAATACAGTAATATGTCTAGACAAACCTGGCCCCTAAAATATCAAACCTACTTGCTCTATTAAACTAGTGACTTTTTCACCATATTATTGGCAAAAACCGTTATATGGCATCCATCTCTAAACGGTTACTAAGGTGATTTGTGTCGAGCAGAATGGTTAATGTGCCCAGGTGGGTGCGACTTTCTAGAGGCCATAATATGTGGGTGGCAGCTGCTCTGTCTCCACCCTCTCAGTGCTTTGGGGACCTTAGTGTAGAGAAAGGCCATAATGCTAGCAGCCCTTTAGACTTTGGAGGGGGAGGTAGCTGCCAACTCAAAGTAGAATCAACTCCGTTTGAGAGCTTCATGATGTTCTAATTCATCCCTATCCGTTCTCCCCTCCAGGGAATACAGAAGCAGGTTTACCAATGAAGAGACAGTATCATTCTGCCTGAGGGTAATGGTGGGTGTCATAATACTTTATGATCACGTACATCCTGTGGGAGCATTTGCCAAAACATCCAAAATTGATGTAAGTTTTGTATAATGCGAAATAATTTTTTACATGAAAATTGTAGGCTTTTATTTACAGAGCTAGCAGTCTGGACTCAGAACTCACTGTAGCTTGTGCTCATGGTAGATTTTCATCCTCTGTTCTCTTGTGATTTGGGAGTGCCTGCATTCTGGCTGAGTTAAATGATTGAAGGAAGAGTAACTACATTGTAAGAGGTCTCCCTGTAGGGCTCTTCTACATATTGGCAATAGCTAGATAGAAGGCATCTTCCAAGTGTATCCTCTAACTGCTTTGTGTAAAGGCTTTAAAGAAAAAGTTTATTTCAAAGAGCATACAAGAAGCTAGTGGTGCTTTAGGAGAAAGTGGGAGATTCTACTTAACTTTCTTGTCTGTACCCCTCATGGTGAGTTGTGACTGCGGCCAGATTTCTCCTTGTCTCATGAGAAGTTTAGAAGTGCAGTCACGCTCTGGTTACTTTGCATTGTAGTTTCTGTAGTGACCCTGTCACTGTGTGTCCGTATTCTCACTAGTGTTCCCTTACAAAACTAGTTCAGGCCCTTAGCGTTTTGGATCTTGACACAGGTAGCCAGTCCGTCTTTGTATCTCCATGCACATTTATCCTATTTTTAAAAAAGTGAGTTCACATTTATCATGCAGTTACTTGCCCCAGGAATTTTCTGTCTGTCCTTGTATGTAGCTGAAACTAGTAGGCTGTAGTTGTCTCCCTCTAACAGAGCAACTGAATTTTAAGAAATTAAATAATAGAATTAGCAGGAAGTGGTAGAACAGGAGGTTAAGTCTCTCTGGCTTCTAAAGCCAGTATTGTGTCTGTCATGTGCTTTTTCACTGTAAACAGGCTAATAATCTTCCCTGTCTTTATTGAGTTGTTCCCCTTTCTTAGTAGCTTGTGGCGAGTCCGTATTGCCTGGCTGGCCAATCAGATGAGATACCCTGGCTTTCACAATTCTGATCTCTTGGAGCTGGGGATTTAGCTCAGCGGCATAAGCACTTGCCTTGTAAGCAGGCAGTCGTGAGTCTGATCCCTGGTACCAATTAAAAACAAAAAAAAAAAACCACTCTTTCAATCCCAAAGGATTCCTGTCTGTTCTCTGTTTGTCATTGGCCATTTCTACGTGGAACGCTCTTCTTTTCCTTGCTAGCATATATAAATTACTACTTAACAGGAAAGCTGTTCCTTAGCAAAACACCCTTGTGTTTTCATTGGAGTGGGTGATACTTTTGACTGATTTGGTTCTCAAAAAGTTTTGTTTCACTGACAGACTGACAAAATAGTACTTACTTAGAGCTTGTTTTTTTTTTTCTTTTATCCCCATTCTAAGAATGAATAGTATTTTTAGTATGTAGCCTTCCAAGTTCACTAGTTGTGGTCCTGATTTTATTTTATTGTTTAGAAAATCAATGTGATATGAAAAGCAGATGTTTCACTTTTTCATTTTCTTTCTACTTAGATGAAAGGTTGTATCAAAGTTCTTAAGGACCAGCCTCCTAATAGTGTGGAAGGTCTGCTAAATGCTCTCAGGTATGTGTTCCTATGCACAGGGAAAATACGCAAGAAGAATGTGTGATTTTTGTATATTTGACGAAAAAGCTTTAAAATGTGAGCAGCACCTAAAAAAGACGAATGAAAACATTCGAGGTAGAACCCAGAAGGTCTCCTCTTGCCAGTGGGTAACCCTGCTTCCCCTCGGAGGTTTACCATGTTTTGCATGTGAAATGTGTGTCCACGGATGTGAGGAGCAGCTTCAGTTTTTGCTTGAAGATTTGGCTGTTACTTCTTACCCTTCCTTAATGAAGTAATATCGCTTACTGTTTTTTAAGAAAAGTAATACTGCTAATTGTAATTAAAATTTAGAAAAAACGAGAGTTTAAAGAAAAAAAATCATGTAATTTTCTCCATGCTCAGATAACGCACTGTGACATTTTTCTGCGTGTAGCCTTCTGTGCTCATGAAGAAAGAAAAGAAGAAAAAAAATCATGTAATTTTCTCCATGCTCAGATAACGCACTGTGACATTTTTCTGCGTGTAGTTTTCTTTTCACGTGGAGGTAGTTACCATTCTACACGGCCATCTTTTTTACAGAGCAGTGCCATACGAAGCGTTTTATAACTAGCTTTTTCCCTTAATATTATCTAATTTCTGTGTTCATCAGTACACATCTGTATTATTTTTGTGCATTTCTTACAGTGAAAATGAGGCAGTCACTATTTGATGTATTTTCTTAGGTCTTAGGTAGATACTGAAGCTCCAAAGAATACTGGGATGTTTTTAAATAAAAATCTTGGCACTTCAAAATGTCTTGGATTACAGAGATAATTTTCCTAACCAAAAAAAATGAGTTTTTCATTCTTGATTGAGATTTAAACACAAAAACAAATATTTGTATACTTTGTATGTTTATGTCATAAAGCAAAATGAAGCCTATGTCATTTCAGCTCAGTGAACCTTCAAATCATTGTTAAAATTATGAAATGTGATTACAAGCAGTGATTCCCTGTGTAAAGGAGCTCTGTTCCAAATGAACATTGGAAGGATTAAAGAACTTAATTGAAAACCCATATGATACTAAGCTGTTTCAACCATAGCCTGATGTTTGCACCCCCTCCTTTTTTTTTTAAGCAGTGCTGGGGGGTTGAAATCAGGGATGCTCTATGACTGAGCTACAATCCCTAGCACAGCACAGCTCAGTCTCTGGATTGGCTGTGTCCTAGGAGGTCTCTAACACCTGCGAGAAGCACATTTGCATTTTACAAAAGAGAGACAATAAAGGAGCACCCTTGGCAGCTCTTTGACTATTACAGTGCATTGTGGAGCAGAACTATTTCTGACTTCTGCAGTAGACTTCATTGTGCACATTCTTGATTTCTTTGCACTAACAAACAGGTGAAAATAGATATGTGTTGAGAACTTTATTTTCCGACATCAGTAGGATGACATGTAGCTATGTATGCCTTATGTATGTAAGTAAATCAGAACAGTTATATCTTTGCCTTATCACTTTGCCTGTAATATAAATATTCCTCTAAGGATTTTTCTTTTCAGTTTGGCAGCCTACTTTTTCTTTCTTCCACAAACATTTACTGAGTACTTGTTAAATGCCAGCACTCTAGTGTGTGTTTATTAATAGGAGAACAGTTTGGAAGTGTCACTGTAGAGGGCACCTAATATCAGGTGCTTTGTAAGTATGTGTGTGCGCCTGTCCCTGTCCTGCCCCAACCGAAGATTAAGCCAAGACCCTTGCACTAAGCCAGTGACGCCTAACCTTTCAGAGCTGTCAGCCCACTGCAGCACACATGCCATAGGTTCGCCACCACTGCACTGAGCAATAGCCCCAGCCCTCCCTCCTCTCTTTCTTTCCAGATCACCTCTGTGTACCTGATTGAAATGATATAGTCCATGAAGATTATATGTGAAAAGGCCAGGCACGTGTTGCTTGTTGTGATTCCGCCTACTCCAGAATCTGAGGCAGGAAGTGTGCAAGTTTAAAGCTGTTAGGCAATTTAGCAAGACTCTGCCTCAAAATAAATACAGGGCTAAGCATGTGGTTGATTGCTATAGTACTTAACTTCCATGCACAAGGCCTGGGTTCAATTGTAAACTGAATGAATCTGTGAATTATCTCCAAAACATATCCCACAGTCAAGCATCACTGCTTATCTGGTCCAAGCCTTGGGCTTCTCTGCTTCAAGTCTCAGTGGATGCTCCCTGCTGCGCTCACTCAGATCTGCCTGAGGGCCCACCATTCCCCTGCTTTCTCTCCTCCAGTGACTTCCATCGCGCTTAATTGCCAGGCACTGTGGCTTCCAAGTGTGTACATGAGCTGGTTTTCTGTCACTGTAGCCTCATCTAGTACTGTCCTGTTTGCTCTTGTGTTGCCTCTTCTGAAAAGTTAGTACCTCGTAATCTTTTCCCTCTGCTAGATAGGAAGCCTCTGGAATGGTGTCTTAACCTGGTAGTGCTCCCTTGAGTTCTGCTATATAAAGGGATCTATGGTGAACCTTCATGTAATAATTCTATTATTTAGAGTGTCTGTCTTGGATTCTTAGTTTGGATTTCCATGCATGAGCGAAGTATACCTACTAGGAAGTTTAAGGTACTTGGAGAACTGCAACCTTTTAGGGATGTGAACTATGGGAGAGAGCTGTTTTAATACAGAATAGAACAGGGCCACTAAGGAACCAGAAAGTAGGTAAATGTTTAGGCTCTGTGGCTACATGGTTTGCGTTACAGCTACTTAACTCCCGTCATTCAAATATATGTGGCTGACATCTTGGATGGAGCAGTTACGTTGCTGTAGGTGAGAGGTACCTAATTGTTAATGTGAGCGTTTATTCAGTCACTTCAGCAAGGTCTCTGTGATCAGGTGACATGGCAGCTGCCTGTTCTCTTAGGTGGTGGGGAGGATGAGCGGTGCAGACCTGCTCGGGTTTAAAGCCCTGGGAAAAGGCAGCCTTCTGCAGGTTTGCTCAGTTGTCAGAGTTACAGAACCTGAGGCAGATTTTAGTTCCCTAAGCTTGATCAGTGTTTGTCTTTTAGGTACACAACAAAACATTTGAATGATGAGACTACCTCCAAGCAAATAAAATCCATGCTGCAATAACAGTTCTGGAGTAAGCACCTGCTGTAGACAGAAGACAGTATTCTGCAATGACTGAGAATGCACAGTTTTTTAGTGATTGCAATTACTATCTCATTTACTCTTGCTTTTATTTCTTTCCTCTGTTCCTCTTCCCTCTTTTTTAATCATGTTCTTGACTTCTTTTCTGTGCCAAAATCAGTACAGTTACACTCTGAAGGGAGGTTGGCCCTTCGCACAGGCCATCTAAGGCAGCTAATTATGCATTGCATTGGGATCTCTACTGAGAAAAATTCCGTGACTTGAACTAAATATTTTTAAATGTGGATTTTTTTTGAAAACTAATATTTAATATTGCTTCTCCTGCATGGCGAAACTGCCTATTCTGCTATTTAAAACCCTCAGTGACTTTATTTTCTACTGCCGCTTTTTTCATGTGCCACCAAAATGAAACGTTTAAATTAACTGTGTTGTACAAATGGTACCCAACACAAACTTTTTTTAAATTAGTAAGACTTTTGTTTAAAGTTTTAAGTTTGCATTTTGACCTTTTTTGTAAGGATGTATGTTGTGTGTTTAACCTTTATTAACTAACGTTAAAAACTGTGATGTGTGCGTAGAATATTACGTATGCATGTTCATGTTTAAAGAATGGCTGTTGATAAAATAAAAATCAGCTTTCATTTTTCTAAGTGTGGCTTGTTTACTATGTTTTGTTTTTAGGCTTCTGAAGTTTACTCTGTGTATATTTTTGTGGAATGCATAAACACATTACAAAATTTCTCCTTTTTTCAGAGAATAGGTAGCAGTGTCTTTTCCATGGTATTTTTCTCCTATTGTCTGTGTAAATAATTTTAATTGCATTTAATACTTTGCTGTATATAATAAGACCAGGGATTTTGACCTGACTTCTGTTCTTGGTTTACTGTTGTACAGACACAGTGGTAGAAAGGAAACCAACTTGCTTGATTCTCAGTTTCAGGAGTAAAAGGGCACCAGTGTAAAGCAAGGTGGTGTGGCAGGAAGAGCAGCCCTTAGAACTGATAGGCCTATGAGCACGCGGGCCCTTCCAAGAAGAAAACAGAAGGCCGTGAAATCACTAGTGGGAAAAACTACTGTGTTTGTACTTTGAGGTCATAAAGCCTAAAATCATGGCATCTGAACCTCATGGTGGGAGAAGCTGCTTGAAGGCTGGCTGATGCAGCCACACCAGTGGCTCAGTGACCAGCACATCCGAGGTGTGATACACTTGAGCTGGCAGCCGTGGAAGAGCACCCCAGAGCCTGCCCTCCGCGTTCTGCATTCCTGTGCCAGGCCACGGCACATAGCCCGTCCTGATCAGATCCTGCTGCCTTCTCCCTGCTCTCCTGCTTCACAGCCTGCTCACCAGCCAAGCTCAGTGGCCTGCTGTGCACAGCCTGCCTCGCTCATGTGGTGTTGCTTCCATACTGATCTCACTGGAACCTGAATCTGACTTCCTCTTCCTCCTTCATGTCGATCTGATGAGCCCCAACTCTCATCTGTCAAGGATCGGTTTATGTTACCTCTTTCCTACAGTTTTCTGGATAACGTTGGCCGTGTCTTTGTATACATCTAAGAGAACCATAATGAGTTGAATAATCCCCTTTCCCAAGAACCTTGTATCTGGAACCTGAACGTATGACCTTATTTGTCAATGAAACTCAGGAGCTGGAGGGGACACCATCCAGGATGCAGGTGGACCGTAGATCTAATGACAGTTCCTTAGGAAAGAAAAGGGGGACATACAGAGCAGGAGCCATGGGGGATGGCAGGAGAGGCAAGCACTGTGCCTAGAAGCCAAGCAGGCTTAAGAATTGCTGGAGCCACAGATGTTAGGGAAGGGTCCTGAACTCTCTGGCAGACCACTCCTAGGGAACCAATCTGATTGATGCTTTGGTTTCTCACTTTTGTCCTCTAGGAGGTGAAAAAGTGAATTTCTATTGCAAGCCACCCGGTTTGTAGTAATTTGTTATAGCAGCCCTAGGAATTTCAAGTATCTCTTACAACATTTCTGCTATTTGAATGCACTTTTGGCTGTCTTTTCTGATCCTACAGGAAGACGGTGTTAAAGCTTTACAAAAGAGCCATGTCTCGGTGGTCCTTCCGTGTCCCAAGGAAGGATCCTGCACAGAGCCCAAATCTGAATAGGTGCCAAATGAATGGTTGAAGCAAGTGCTATAAAAACAGTAATTCACTACGGCCTATTCAGGGGACAGGTCATGTTCTGCATGTTGAAGAATAAGTAAAAAAAGTCAGCTCTAGCCCAGGGGTCAGCATACTGGTCAGTGGGCTAGCCCATCCACTGTCTGTTTTTGTATATCCTGTGAGCTAAAAATGGTTTCAAAAAGGTTAAAAAAAAATAATGATTTTTTAGAAGGTTGAATAAGTATTTTGTAGCATGAGAAAAGTATATGAAATTCAGATTTCAGTGTTCATAAATAAAATTTTATTGGAACTTAGCCTCGCTTGTTTATATATTTTTTGGCTGCTGTCTCCCTTTCACAGCAAGAATTGAGTTGTGACAGACCACGTGGCCCTCGGAGGCTGAAGTACGTAACTGTCTACAGAGTTTGCTGCTTCTCCCCCTAGTTACAAGAGCAAGTTCGTTTGTGAACTTCCAGGGACAGAAACAGTATTGCAGTGTGATAAAAGGAGAATGGATTCAGCTTCGGGTGTTTTACTCGCTGCTGAGCCCCGGGAGAGCAGATAGGCATCTTGCCTCCTGCGAAAGTACATTTCTGCCATGGCGCCAGCCTTAGGGTGAGGGTGACAGGGCTGAGAACAGGCTCATGGGGAGAAAGGCTGTGAGCCCTTAGCAGGGTTTGCCCTGCTCGCAGAGTCCAGTGAGCCCACTGGGGGAGACAGGTCCTAGTGCTCCAGGCAGACCTGCTGCCGCCAGCTCTGAAACAGCCTGCTCGGTGTGTTCAGCCATCCTGTATACGGCCCTTGTGCCACGTGATGACAACAGAGTAACGTTACATAGTCTCTTCTGCCACCTCTACCCATGCTTATCTTTCCCCACTGCCACATTTCTGCAGCCCTCAGTGTGACTGTGCAACCAGCTGGTTTTCTCTCTTAAAAAGATGGATGACACAGCATTCCAAACTATTTTAAGACTGTGTTAAGTATTAGAACTAAAAGGATAATTGCCATTTGTGCTTAAACTTAGGTTTTAAAATTGAAATGCCAGGCTGATTCTTCCATTTATGGTGACAGGAATGGCCACTCCAGAAATTCTAGTTCTTTGCACAGCATTTTTCAGAATCTTCAGAACTTGATGTAATCAGAGAAAATGTAGTGGAAAGATCTGTGGATTAAGTATCAGGAGAACCAAGCCATTTCACTTCTTTGGAACTCTTGTTTTGCTTCTCAGTAAAAGAATTGAAACATGGTCTTCAATATGTGATTCCTTGTCATAAATATACTTCTTCTCTGTGCTCCCTGCGAAGTGTTACTAATGTGAATAGCTAAAGCATAAGCTTCAGGCAGTGGGCTTGAATCTGGCCACCTCTACCTTGGTGCGACTTTGGTTAAGCCTCTTGTGTCCTCACAGGGGATTCTCCAGATACCTCCATCTCTACGGTGGCCCTAAGAGTCACACTGGTGTGTGCCCATAATGTCATGTGCATTATGTCCCCTGTACATATTGGAAGTTGTTGGGTTTTCACAGCAAAGACTTCATAAAGAACACACCTAAGTTCACCATGTATTTGGCACTTTAAGGTGCATAGAGCAGTCCTTTCATGTCTCCCCGACGACCGTGAAGCTCCTGTTGCTCTTGGATATGCTGTTTCATTTCTGCTTTCTGAGCAGCCCAGCCTGGGAAGTAGCGCTGCTGGCCAGTTTGCCTGATGGCTGTGGGATACTAGTATGCGTACAGCTCTGCAGCGCCTGTCTGCTGTTACAGCTGTCGGTCTCTGTAACGGGGGTGCAGGCAGGGAGGAGTGGGTCAGGTGTGGGGAGTCTTCTGTGGCCCTACAAACCTGGCTGTTGCTTTGCGGCATTGAGGGTTAAGATTTATTTAAAATGTTACACTTCAAATGGAAGGCAGGAGCAGAGGCACAAGCTCAATAATTGCTTTCATTGAGGCAAGAAATAAAAAATAGTTGTGTATGCCTGGAACCCAGCCCTCGGGAGGCCGATCCCAGCACAATCGATGCCAGCCTGGGCTACATAGAATTTAAGGCCAGGCTGAGCTATGTGGCGAGACCCTGCTTCCAACTCAGATGGCAGTCGTTGCAATGGATGTGAGTAGAGAGATGGAGATGGATTTTGAAGACTGTCCAGCAGACCAGATATGGAAATGAGTGAAGTGCAGAGTGGGCTTAGCATTTGGTGTGAGTACCTGTAAGGATGCACCAGATTGGGAGGGCTGGAGTGGAGTATACTGCAGGACCCAGCAGCGGAGAAACTGGGCTTGGTAAGCACTGCTCTTTGCCTTTGGAGGCCATGGTGGGGCTGGTGGAGTGATTCTGCTGAGAGGACCTCCGAAGAGGGCAGGGCAGGGTGGACCAGGGAGCAGGGAAAGAGGCCAGAAAGAACTTGATTTAATTAGTACATTATTGCTTCAAATTACTATCATTTCTATTTTCAGGCAAAAGTTACTCTTTAAATTGAACTTAAAAGGATAGGTTAGGCACACTGGGATCTTTATTAGTACATTCACCAAATGGAGTGAAAACACTTTCATTGCTACCATTTTCTGTCCTCTGCAAAAGGACCAGTTCTTGCTGGGAAAGAAGACAGGTCAGTCTGAACAGTGACATTCAAAGGGCAGGACAGATAGAGGGCTGGCCAGAGGCTGGGAAGGACTGGGGAGTGCAGCAAGGGTGGAAAATGGAGGGGAAGGAGCAGGGGCGATGTGTAGGGCGCGTTCACTGTAAGACCTGAGGAAATTCAGTACTTTGAAGTTACTTGTGGCTGCCTCACTATACACCTTGATTAAGAGATTTGATTGATTTGATGTAGACAACAGAGAGCAGAAAATACATTCTCACCTCTGAAAAAGAGGAGCCCATGCCAGCCCTGCCCAGTAAGATGCGACCCCAGAGGTGCTGCTGGGCGGAGGAATGGTGCAGTGCATCTGTTTGCAGAACAGCGGAGGTCTGCAAAGGGTTCCTCGCTTAGAACCAGTTCTTGTGTTACAGAACATAGTTTACTAAGCAAGTCTGTGTGTATCTGAGTTTTCCTGCACGACAGTTGATGTGTACAGGTGACATTGAAAAGATAAGGACTCAACAGTGTACTCAGTACTGGGCGTATCTGGGGCCTGGAATTGGGGAGTCAAAGCACTCTTAAGCCGGGGCATAGCACAGTGGTAAGAGAGATTGCTTGGTGCTTTGGTTCCATCCCAGCGCTGAAATTGTTCATGTATTTGTGAAACATTTTAAAATAATAACTTGTTTGTTAACTAGCTTGTAACATTAGGAAGGAATATATAGGGTGAACTCGTCCAGTGGGGGCAGCAAGTGGCAGGGCCCTGAGGTCTGACTGTCCAGGGTGCTGTGCTGGGAAGCAGCCCAGGCGCCCTGGGACAGGGAAGATGCGGACCTGGGCTGCTGGCTGCAACTTGTCCTCTGCTTCTGCTCATTGTCCACGGTCCCTGACACACACATGCAGTCATGGGGAGTGTGAGTTTTACCAGAAACACCCAGTCACAGAAGAAACGCAGCCCTGGGGAGACGCGGGGAGAGATCCTGCGAGGCCACAGGAGGAAATGAGACAGGCCTGGCACAAGCCGTGTGCCTGTAGTCTTGGCATTCTGGGAAGCTGAGGCAGAAGACTGGCCAGTTTGTGGTCCACCTGGGCAACTTAGCAAGATCCTGTCTTAAAATTTAGAGAGAGAGAGACAGATAGACAGACAGTGTGAGTGAGTCCCAGGAAGTTGTTCAGCAGTAGGATGTTCCTGGGCTTACTCCTAGGAACACACACATTAAACCATGAGAAGAGCCCTTTAAGCGGGGGCCCTGCCTGTCACATGGGAAGGCTCGCTCTGCCAGCCTTTGCCCTGTGCCCCTGCCTGCAGCTGGGCAGGACATGAGCCATTCATGGCATCTCTCTCGTCACCCTGGGGAAATTGGGGCTGAACACGGAGGGTGGCTGGGGTGGCGGCTGTCCTGTCCTCTTACCCTGAAGAACAGCCTCCTTCAGAAAGTGACAGTAATCCAGAGTAACAGCCCACAGCCAGGTACTCTTCCCAGCCCTTTAATACAGTTTCCAGAACCTTTCCTGCAGCCCTTTGTGCCAGGGGTTATTACCACCCTCCCTTTCCTGCAGGCGACTTCACAGGCGGACAAAGCTTGAGCTAAGACCACAAGGAGAGAAGCTGCAGACAGCGCCACAGAGCCCAGCTGTCCTGTGTCTTAAGTACTTTTCCCCGCCTGGAGGTGGCCGGTGGCCTCGGGGGTGGAGGGTCCACATCTCTACTGGCGGGACTCAAGGCCTCCAAATTGTCCAGACTACTTTAAAATTAGAAGAAAAAATCTTTGGCACCTAAGGGAGCACCTTTGCACTTCGGGACACGCTAAAAGACTCCTTGTGTCAAGGGAGTGACCCCTGACTCAGCAGTCCCAGGGATAGCCAGGGTGCAGGGAGCTAGGACTGGGAAAGGCAGGCCAGAGGCTTGGGCTGCAGCACAGGCTTGGAGGCACCGTGCAGTCTGCTCCTGTATCTGCTCTGAAGCCGGCTCTGACTTCGCAGCCTCCGAGCCTTGGAAGCTGCTCAGCCTCATCCCCGCGGGCGGCCTGGATTGCAGCTGGGGCTTCTACATGGCCAGGTGGGAAGGGGCTGCTGAAAATTTGGACATGGTAGAGACTTCAGGTGTCCTTCTCCTTCTCTCCTGAGGATTCCTGATATGTATGTTCAGGCAGAAAATAACTGGAAATGAGGTTAAATTCCTTCTTAACAGGGAGGATTATGTACTTGTGAAAGAAAACTACTCAAACCACTGTAGGGGAAGGGGCCACCAGAGACCCGGGCAGTGAGATGGCAAAGGGCTGTCCCCCTGCAGAGGCTGCTGGGAGCAAGGATACGGATGGCAAGGTGGGGAGGGGGCCCAGTGTGTCTCGGCGTGGGGGAGGAGGAAAGGGTCTATCCTGAAAGATGACCCTCAGCCCTGATCAACACACAGCATCAGCAGAGCGGGTAGTGCTGCCTGGGCCCACCAATTCTCTGTGAACCAGAGGCACGAGGAATTCCTGGAACGTAGTACCCTTGTCTTTTTGTTAGGTAGACAGAGAAAAGAGAGGAATGATAGATGATGCAGAGTTAATTGTATGAGTTAAAAAACACACCAAACCCAGCATTTTTTAACAGGACAAAACCGAAAATGAGTGATGGAAGGCAGCGCAGATAGTGGGGGAAAGCTCAGCACCCCTCTGAGTTTAGGCGTCTGACACAAGGCCAACAACTTTACTTAATGTGTTCCCCTCAACCAGATGTGGTGGGGCATACATGTAATCCTAGCACCCTGGGAGGCTGAGGCAGGAGGATTTCAAGTTCAAGCCCAGTCTGGGCACCTTAGTTACTTCGTAAGGCACTATCTCAAAACATAATTGAATGAATGAGTGAATGGATAAATGGATAAAGCTCAGCATGTAGGCTCTAAAGAAATAAGGGCTGAGAAGAGGCTCTGTGTGAAGGCACTGGTTTAATCCTCTGTACTGCCGAACAATAGCAACAAAACAAACTCTCCTTCTGATCAACTTTGGCTGGTGACTGGGTGTCAGGTAGGTGAACTGGGCCTGGAAGGAAGGACTGGCTGTAGCTCCTGGCAGGAGACACAGGCAATGCAGAATGCAGCACGGTCCTTGGGGAAGGTAGAGCTGTGTGAGCGAGGAGGGGCCAGCGAGCCTGTAAGTGTGTTCTTGGTGCTGGCCTTACTCAGGCGCTGACTCGCTTTCTGCCCCTCTGGCAAGCGAAGCTCACCCTCTCCAAAAGCTAAGACTCTTGAGGTGCCCTGCCTCTCGTGCTGGGGGTGGTCTCCACGGTGCTACCTTACAGCCCAGAGGGCGGGATTCTGAGGACAGAGGCTGGAATCACCTGCTTCCCAACATGTGTGATGTGGTTTCCCGGCCTGCGGCTTGGTCTGACTCAGACAGGGAGTGTTACCCTGAGCCCTCTGGACCCTGGAGAAAAGGACGAGATAAGGATGAAAAGCAGGATGATTCAAGAGCTTTGGAGAGGGGCATCTAATGCAGCTACTTCAGGGGCCCCGGAGCCAATCTGTGACCCTACTGCTCTTTCTATAAATCACCCTTAACCATTAGGATTTCACAGAGACTGCGTTAGTCCTTTTCCATCTCTGGTACAAAATACCTGACACCATAATGTCAAGGAGGAGAAGTTCATTGGGGCTCACAGTTCCAGAGGGTTCAATCCATGGTTAGCTGGTGCCAAGGCAGGAATATCATGATAGAAGGGCATGGAAGGACAGTGTTATGGAAAAACCAATATCAAACCAAATGGAAGACTTTGCACCAAGGAGTTGGAAGACAACTTCTTCACTACGCTACCAGGCTGATGGGAATGTCAGTTCCAAATCATCAGCAGAGAGGCGGTTTTGGGTTCAGTTTAAATACAGTTTGCAAGCATGAAGTTCAAGGCATTACATGACTGATTACACGGATTGAATTAAGTCACATACTGTTAGGTAAACTAACTCTAAATACATTCGCATAAAAGGAATTGTTGATTAGAATATAGGAACATCCTGGAGACGAGGGGAGTGAATTCTAGTGGAGCGAGCAGAGTTAAAAGAGTTGACTGAGTTACTTTGCCTCAACCAAAGTCCTTGAAGCCAGTTGGAAGCAGTATATTTTCCTAATTAAGGGAAATGTAAGCGGAGAGCAATCAAATTGGCCCAGTGCATTATCAAAAGAAAAGCAGCTGGACCCCAATAGTCAAGGCTGACTGAAGTCAGCAGAGCAGCCACGTGATAAGCAGAAAGAGCATAGGCAGAGGCTACTATCCGATTTCAACTTGCTATAGCATGTGAATAAATTCATTAGTGTGTAACTAACCTTTACGAATCATATAATTTTGCCCCAACTTAGGAGGCAGAGGGAGAGAAACAGAAAAGGGAAGAGCCAGGGACAAGAACATACCCTTCTGGCTCATGCCCCAGGGACCCCTCTCTTCTGACGAGGTCCCACCTCTGAACAGTGCATTCAGCTATGAACTCATCAGCAAAACCATCCACTTACAAATATACTCCCCCATGATCCAGTCACCATCCTGAAGTGTCACCTCTAAACACACGTGGCTTTTGGGTAAAATTATAGATCTAAGTATAACAGAGATAAAGGTTTCAGGACCTTAGGTTGAACCGTGGATTGCTTGAGTTCTGTCCCAGATCCTTCAATATGGCACCGCCAAGTTCCTTCAGATAATCTGAGGAGGCCTCTTCTAGCTATGGGAGAAAGGAGCCCTTGTTAGTAAAACTAATATTGTCATGTAATTTGCCTGTGTGCTCTGTGTGAGAGTGATGGCTAAGGGGTAGGCTGAAGGCTCTTTCTCCCCTGGTTCTCCAAGCAGCCAGCAAGTGTGGGGGCTGCACTCTTGGCCAGAGTCCCCCATCCCTCCCACTCCCTGGTGTCTTACTCCTCCCTCAGGTACATTGGTAGCCATGTCTGTAAACATCTTGCTTACATCTCTGATCCATCCAGCTTTTGGACCCTCAGCATGTCCTTAAAGTCCTGCAGAGCCCCTCTTCCCTCCAGCATGGCCAGAACACTGTGGGACATGATATCCTGCATGTCCTTTGAGATCTGGGCTAGCACCTCCATTTCTGGAAAACCCCTTGTAGATGCCTGCAGACAGCAGCAGTGTGATGGTTTATCTTGACAGCCATCCTGACTGGATGGAGAGATAGGATACTCGGAAGTGAGTAAAGGCTGTTTGTGAAGGCAGTTGGCCCGTGGCCCGTTTTAAGGATGGGGAGATAACCATCCTGAAAAGCCTGAGGGCCTGGATAGAACAAAAGTAGAAGGGAGAAGAAGGCCTTCAGCAGATTCTCTCTCCTGGTCTCTGTCCCCTCCTTTGCCACTGTGAATGAGCAGTGTCCTCTACTACCCCCCTTCCACCATGAAGTGTCTGCCTCAGTGCAGACTGGAGCAACCCAGCCAGCTGATCATGGGCTGAAATTCTTGAATGTGAGCTGAAACAGAGCTTTTCTCCTTTTAAATGTTCACTCTCAGGTATTTTGTTACAGCCTTGTAAAGGCTATAACAGAAACACCAGTCAGGAAGTCGGGACAATTAATTAGCTAGAGCACCCCTGGAATGGTAGCCCTTCCCCATCGCTAAGAGCCTAGCACCCTTTATCTACCAACCCCCAGTGTCTCTGCAGATGGGGTGTGGGAGCTCTGTGTGAATCTGCAGTTCCCTTGGAAAGAGGAAGAGGAAGGTCCCCACCCGACCCACTGTTTAAAGGAGGAAACGCTATCCCTGAGGCTCCAAGACCAAGTGGTCCGAGGCAGAAGAGCATGGCTGGGGTTCCTGGCTTGTCTGTTAGGGTTGAAGCCCTTAAGGGCTCTTATGATCATCTAAAGAGCCAGATTGCTACTTTTCTCACTGCTGAGACAGAATACCTGACACCCAAAGTTAAAGGAGGAAAGGTTTGTTTTGGCTCACAGTTTGTAGAAGTTTCTGTCCATACCTGGCTGGCTCCAAGAAGGGTGGCCTGGCAGAGGGGCATCACTGAGAAACAGTCTGTGACGAAGCAGGCAGCAAGCAGCAGCAGCAAGCCTGCCTTCCCTCTCTCCCTCTGTATTCCATCCTGGTACAAGCCTGTTGATCGATGCCACCCATCCCAGGACGGGCACCCCATTATCCATACCCAGAACTACGCTAATTCCAACCAGTGGGCTCATTTAATACCACACAGCCTTAATCCTGATTTCATATCCCTGTGACCCAGGCAAATCTGGAAAGCTCCATCTATGAGCTATGAGTCTTTGGTGCAAACGTAGATACGTGCCACATCTCACTCACATTCCGCAAAGGTGCTGACCATAAGCTGATACGACAAGGTTGGCTGGTGGGAAGGAAGCCAGGTTAGGAGAGCCAGGGCCGTTTCTGCTGGAGTCTTCCAGTGCTCTCATACCCGTGTCTTAGGTCCGGCCTCCAGGTCAGGTGGTGCCAGCTTTTCCCAATGTGGCATCAGAACCTATAAGGATGCATTATGGATTAAAAACTGATGGTCAACTTAACACCAGCTGAATTAAATCAGCTTGGTGCTGTATGCTGATGGCCCACCTGAGGAAAGTTGCCAGCATAAATAGAGACATAGAGAGGAAGAGTGAGGCACTGTGGGTTTCTCTAAGTGTTGCTGTTTGAGCCGCTGGTTCTCTGGAGGAGCTCGTCATGACTAGCTTCTCCAATATGAGTTTGACTATTCTCATTGAACGAGCTTGGGACGTTGATGGTGAGAGTGGCTGTGGTTCACTTTGGGGGAGCTCTGGTCCTTACATCGAGCATCACTTCTTGGTTCCAGAGGGGAAGATGCGTGCTGTTTAATCTCCAGGAGAAGCTTGTCATGCTGGCTTTCTGGCACATATCCTCTACTGTTCTTATTGTCGGAGGAGCTTGGGACCTCCATGTCACTGAGGATTGCTGTGGTGCTTTTCAGGACAGCCCTGGTCCTTAGTTTTAGTGTGACTTCTCGGCTCCAGTGTAGATCTCTCAACCTACCAGCACTGCTCCATCACCCCGCTGGCATAGACTTTCTAGCTTCCACCTTTGACCCTAGGGCCTTCCCAGCAGGGATCCGTAAAACAGACTGGTGTGAGTCCTTCTCATGGGCTCTAGACCTCCAATTAGACTTGTAGGAGACATTGTCACGGGCTCTGGGTCTTCATCTGGACTCATGCAGGACATTGCTGTGGGATCCAGGCCCTTGGCTTCAGCCATATTCATATTCTGGTTTTTTAGTGTTGTGGACAGATTTTCTGCACTTTCTTGTGTTTAAGTGACTGTCATAAAATAATATTATAAATTCTGTGCCCTGATTCTGATTGTTCTCCTCACAACCCCTGACTGTAACAGGATGCTTGTTGAAGTGTCACCTGTCCCTCATGTCTGCTGAGTCAGGCTTTGAGAGGTACCTTGAACATGCCTTTGCAATGAGGCCCTGGGTGAACATTGTGCCCTGTAATATTTCAGAACTCCTTTTTGATATTTTCCTCCTACTGTCCCCTTGTCAGCTTAAATCCTGTTCTGGGTCTTCTGCTCTCATTCATCTGCTCCCAGGCCTGTCATCTTTCCGGGTGATTCAGGTTTATACTCATGCTGAAGTCTGAGACTAGCATGCGTGTCCCAAACAATACAGTGAGCATTTAAATAAAAAAAAAGTATCACAGTAAGAGACACACGGCCACTCCTCATCCTCTAAAGACCCCCTTCACTTCAAACATCCTTGTGCCCTCCTTCAAAAGGGCTCTGGAGGTCCTCTGTCACGAGCGTCTTCAGTTGCATTGCTGTGGCTGCCTCAGAGTCCTGAATCCATTCAGAACATTCACCATTCAGATCATTTTGACTCGGGGTAGGAGGGCAGAGAGCCGGAATTGGTGGGATAGCAGATCTGCTGTGTAAGGTGAAGGAGAACACATCATGATGTTTTTATTCCATAAAATTGCTGGAAACATTTTGAATAAATTTAAGACATCCAGGCAGCCACAAAGAGGCCCTCAGGAAAGGGGGAGTTCCACGACAGCTTCAGCAAGTGTCGAGAATGGTGGGATAAAGCCACAGGCAGGACAGGACCTAAAGGGCATTAAAGGCAGCGTGTCTTCTCCTGTAATTTTTTTTTCATTTTTATGCAAGCATTCAGCATAGGCTTTGATCATGCCATACAGCAACAGTTCAACAACGGGGGGGGGGGCACAGATGGTGGTGCCATGGTGACCAGGGAGAGGAGTTCCAGTGGGGAGCGGCCAGCCTTGGGCTGGTGGGTGCCATTGAGGAGAACATTCCCTGCCGGGTGACCACAGGGAAGGTGAAGGTGTGCATGACTCTGTGTGTGTGTGTGTGTGTGTGTGTGTGTGTGCGTGAAGGGGACCTGTGAGGGTGGCGGTGGGAGTGAGTGTGGGGGAGCCCAGGGATGGCTGCTGTGCGATACTGCAGCTTGTTGTCAGGCTGGGGAAGGAGTCAGATGGACTGGAGGGAGGACAGCAGTGTCACTCACACTGCTGGACATTATCTCCCTCCCTTGAATCCGATCAGTAAAAAAGGTTCCACTTTCCAAATGAGAAGGCCAAGTAAAGACAAACAAATTAAAAACAAGCCTCATCCTCCCATGTAAGCTTAGAGGAAGGGAGTTCCCTTATCTCTTTCTTCTTAGGAGACCGCCCCTTTTCCTGGAAACGCCTGCACATTCTCCTGCAACCTGGACAGGGCACTGATCAGCTGGGGGATCCAGGAATGTCTTTCTCAAGAAGCTGCACACCTGCTCTGAAGAGGAAAGCACCACAGTTAGCATCTCAGACTTCGGGCTTCTGTGGGGAGGGCACTTAGCTGGGCGGTGCCTTACCCATGTGCAAAGTTACCCCGGTGCAGATGGGGGGCAAAGCCAACTCGCCAGCATGTTCACGCCAGTCACCAGGGGTCTCGGCCACTTTCCTTGTGGCTGGGACGATACCTGACTCTCACAACTTGAACAAGAGAGGCTCATGGTTACGGCCCTGAGCAGACATCATGGTGGAAGGGGCTGGGGGAGGAGATTCTCACCTCCGGATGGCCAGGAAGCAGAGGGAGAGGAGGAAGGAGCCAAGGCGGGAAGCATGGCCACCAGGGCAGGCCTCCAGTGACCTGTCTCTACCCAGCAGGCCCCTGTCAGGTCAGTGGGTGACACCAGTGGGTACATGCCCCCATGGCCCAGTCCAGCCCTGGCCCCGAGCACGTGAGGCTTTAGGGGGACAGGTCGGGTGCAGACCACAGCCCCAGTGAAGCTAGGGTGAAGAGTCTGACAAATGGAGCTGAAGGCCCTCTCAGGGACCAGTTTGGTTTCCCTCACCACAGGTACACAGTGGGCAGAGAAGACAGTGTGCAGGGGAATGTGCTTTTTGTCTGTGCAGCCCCTTCGTGACTGCCTGTGAAGCCCATCGCACTCTGGTTTAATGCTTGTTCACTCATAAAAGGCTTTTCTTTTTCCTCCATCTTTGTAGGCTGGCTTTCTGGGCCGGGAGATTTTGTTTTTAATCACTGTGTTTTCCCAGCAGCCAAATAGGCACGCTAATGTTCTCTGCTTGCTTACACGGCAGTTCTGTGGGACGTGTTGAACGGTTCTGAACGTTATTTTCCTTTCAGGTTTGTTCTTGCCGTAGTTCATTAGCGTAGGTTTAGTGCATTCTGCAGGGTCACCTTAGGAAGGTTGATGTCCTTCAGTGAGGCCTAGGGGATTAGACGGGGATGCCCCACTCGCCCCCTAGTGGTCAGAATGTGACTTGCAGGAACGGCTGTGAGGCCGGCCCCAATGTGATTCCCTTTAGAAAATGTCCCCTTGTTTTGTGCTTCTCTGGTGAATTATTTCTGCTCGTACTCACTTAGCAACTCAAGTTTTGTACTTTTGAAATTTTTATATAGTAATATACTGATTCTGCCATTTTGTGTCAAGGAGTTTCCTCATGATTTTTTTTAAAAAGTTTGTTCACTACAAATTTTTTGAGGTACAAACATTTGTTGCAGAAGTAGCTCATGTGTCTACATGTTTTAAGGTAAAAATAGTTTATTTAGAGTATTATTGTGTGCATGTTTGGTTGTTTAATGCTTTACATTGTACGTTTGTGTGAAAGGTATGAGATTCACTCAATCCAACTTAAAAATATTCTCCTGGAGAATCTCATTCAAATACGTGAAAGGGATTTTTGACACCTCTGTTTCTTCGTTCTTCTGTGTTTTTGTTTTTTTCCATCTTTTGCTTTCATTTCCCCCTTTATTTGTTTTTTTCTGCTACTTTTACCTAATTTAACTTTTATTCTTTAATTAGATTTTTGCGTTGCCTTTCTCCCTCTTTCTAATCTTCCTTTTCTTTTCAGACTTTACACCTTTCCTTTCTCCTTCCTCATTCCCAACTGTTTGAATAATGTTAATTTTTATCAATATTTAGCTATTTAGTTGGCTCTGTGCTGTTCTTGTTAAATTCTTTTTTATTGTTGATGGTGGTATAGTTGTTTTTAGTAGATACTTGGTGTATCTCAGTGTTGGATTTGTCCTTGTGTTGGTATTATTATTGCTGAACTCTTTTTTATTGTTACAGATGGTACAGTTATAGCTATTATTGGTTTTTAAAAAATTATTATTATTGGTTCTTACGCTATGTGAATAATACCCTGCCTACTATTGGATCATAACAGAAGGAAGCTGGAAAAGAACAGTAAAAGAATCCATCCAAACTATGCAAACATATGGAGATTCAGTAATATATTATGAAATAATCAAAGGGTCTCAAAAGAAATCAGGGAAGAAATAAACATTTCTAAAATCAAACAGCAATGGAAGCACAGCAAACCAAAGCACACAGAACACAAAGAGAGCAACTCTAAGAGGCAACTCCACAACGTAAATGCAGACATAAAAAGAACAGGGCAATCCCAAATAGCACAATGACGGTTGTCAGGTTCCTAAAAACACCAGCACAATCTAACTCTGAAACTAACAGCAGAAAATAAATTATAAAGATCAGAGTGGAAATTAAAGAAATTAAGGCTAAAAAATACTACACAGGATCAATGAAAAAGCTGCTTCTTTGGAAGAATGGAAGGGAGTCCATGGTAGCAGGAGGAGGAGGGATGGAAAGGAAAGTGAAAAGGATCCACACGCGGCGTGAATATGTAAAATTCCCTCCTGCTGGGTGTACTTACCGTGTGTCACAGAAGTACTGTAACAAAAGCCCGAGGAAAAGCTTGCTGTTCCCCAGATCAGCTTCTCTGAGACAATGAGAGGAGCAGTTTCACCGGGCTGCGCAGGCCCTGCTTCCCGTCCCAGCGTGTCCCTGAGGGGTCCCTGTGGCCTTCGACTTCCCCCAGGTGAACTCCTTCCCAGGCACCTGTCACCCACAGACCTGTTGGGGTACAGCCCAGGGCCTTATTAGCCGGAGTGCTCAGAGTCAGACAGTCTGAGCATCTGTAATGGGGAGTCTGGGA